CCCGACCTCGGCACTGCAGACAACGACGCCATTGTGAACTTTGCTGAATGGACACACCCTCCGGATCTCGATCCCGACTTCAGCCCGGGAGGTTTCTGGTACTCCCACACTATCCCTGAAGCAGAACGAACAAGAGCGTTAGCAACAATTCAACAAGAAGCAGAGACAACAACATCGGCAGCAGCAACAATATCGACAGCAGCAACAACATCGGCAGCAGCAACAACATCAGCAGCAGCAGGAACAACGACACCAGTCACAGTCGACGAAGCACCACCAACACTCGCGCAACAGCTGAATCCGACTCAGCGTGAAGTCCACCGAAGCGCCAACCTCGTCGCCAGCTTTTACTCCAACTCCGACGCATATCAGCGTTCACCCGGACACCGCGCCTCTGAAGAGATCTGGCACGCACGCACAGGACATCCAAGCAACACAGTTTTGAATAACACGATAAGAGCAGGAGTCCTCGACAAAGACTCTCTACTTCTACCCGATGGCAGAGAACTCCAGAAGGCACGAGGGACTTGCCTTATATGTCCCGAAGCTGACTTACCTCATCGACCGTTTGCTTCACATCACAACCCGAGCGCTCCAGCGTACGCACCACTCGAAAAAGTCTACAGCGACATCCTCTACAATCGCGAACCAGGACAAGTCAACTACAACTACACCATCACCTTCATCGACGCTGCTACTCGATACGTCTGGCATCGCAACCTACCCAGCCGCGACATGGCGCTCGCAGCATTCGCCGCCTGGCTACCGATAGCAGAGAGAGAGTCCGGAACACAACTGAAAAATTTCCAGTCAGACGGAGGTGGCGAGTACACCTCTCAGCGCTTCAAGCAGTTCTTGGCGGAAAGGGGGATCAAGCAACTCCTCTCCCTTCCCTACGCACATCAGCAGCAAGGTGTTGCAGAACGACTGAACAGGACCCTGCAGAACAGCATGCGCAAACTGTTACGTGGCATGCGGCTACCCAACCACCAGTGGCCAGCAGCAATGGACCACGCTGTCATGCTGCACAACTTGTTGTCGTCGTCGTCACTCCCGAACAACGCATCACCGCATCTGCTGTGGACAGGGAAGCAGGGCAGCACGAAAATGTTACGAGTTTTCGGGTGCATGGTACAGTACAGACCCCCAGAAGCACGAGCGGGAAGATTTTCGCAACGGGCACAGTGGGGACTACACCTCGGCATCGAGAAAAATTACAACGCATGGAAAATCTTCGACGTCCACACAAAGGAAACAGTAGCAGCACGTGACGTGATCTTCTACGAAAGACTCACCCTTCAGACATACCTCGCCAACTTGCACGAGAATCGGGACCTCACCAGTGGTTTTCGTGGTGACCGAGCCTTCGCGTCAGCAGCGGACGAAGCAGACTGGGATGAACAGAACGTCGACAACGCCTCAGAAGAAGCCGGACCTCTCCCATACTGCTCCGTCGACGTGCCCATGGATGAGGATAATCCTCGCGACAGTAACAACGCCGAAATCTTCTACCGTTTCGCCGACGATGGTTACATAACACCTGTGACAGTCAACACCAACGAAGCAGAAAGGGTAGGGCCAAATTTCATGCCCGACCCAGAAACGGGAGACGAAGCAGCTTATCCCGAGGATCCAGAACTCCCTCGATACTCACAGACTGGGCTGCAAATCCTTGGTCTCGTCACCGCAGTCCATGGCGCCGGCATTCCTGAGGAGCCTGCGACGGTTCAGCAGGCTCTGGGGGGGGAACACAGGGAGAAATGGCGTGAAGCTATGGACAAAGAGCTGAAGGCACTGGAGGAGCGCAACACCTGGAAAATTGTTCCCATCGGTGTAACTCAAAATAAAAACATTCTTACCGGAAAATGGGTCTTCCGTGTGAAGACGAAAGCTGATGGCACCATCGACAAATTCAAAGCCCGCTGGGTCGTACGTGGCTTCGACCAGGAGCACGGAAGAGATTACACCGAAACCTTCGCTCCGGTCAGTCGCCACACCTCACTCCGAATCCTCATCGCCGTCGCCGCCATGAAGAAAAAGAAATTGCGACAGATCGACGTTGCGAACGCATTTCTCTACGCACCTGTGGATGCAGAAATCTTCGTTGAACTCCCGCACGGCTCCCACGGCGAACCCAACCGAGTGTGTCAACTACTCAAATCACTCTATGGGATCAAGCAGGCACCGCGACTGTGGCAGCAGTACCTACACGCCCGCCTCATTCGCATCGGCTTCAAACAACTCCCGCATGACCAAGGCATGTATCGCCTCACAAAAGGAGGCGATTACGTCCTATTAATCGTCTATGTGGACGATCTTCTCTACATTGGGTCAACCGACAACATCGCCGCGTGGTTCGAAGGGGAGCTCCAGAAAGACCTCACGCTCACGGTCTCTTCTACGGTTACGCAATACCTCGGGCTCAACATCCGTGAGGAAGAAAACGCAATCTACCTAAGCGCCGAGAAGTACGCCGACACTATCGCGAAACGCTTTCGTCTCACACCAAGCGCCATCTCCACGCCTTATCGCTACGCGTCAGGAACCGAAAAGGGGCAATCTACTCTACTTAAACCCGCCGGCATACGCGACTATCAGAAGAAGCTAGGATGCCTTCTTTTCGCAGCAGTCACGTGCCGTCCCGACCTATCCTACTCCGCGAGTCAGCTCGCTACCTATCTCAAGAGACCTGAAGCAGAGCATCTGGCGGAACTCGATCGTGCTCTCCACTACTTCGTCAGCACCGCGACGATCGGACTAACTTATCACAAAAACGTGACTACACCGACCAAACTAATCGGCTACGTCGACGCCGATCACGCCGGCGACACCGACAACAGGCGCTCACGCACCGGCTATGTCTACCGCCTTGAGCCTATCGGTCCTATCTCCTGGCAGTCAAGCAAGCAGGAGTTAATCGCACTATCTTCAGCAGAAGCAGAATATATCGCACTCTGCTCAGCCACCAAGGAGGGACTTTACCTTCGCGAACTACTGGAAGAAGCGAAACTAGCCGAGTTACCCAGCTTCACCGTGTTCTGCGACAACCAATCGGCAATTCGCATCGCCAACAAAAACGGCTTCGCAAACAGGACGAAACACATCGCCCTGCGCTATTTCTTCGTGAAGGACGAGATAGAAAAAGGGAAACTCGATCTGTCATACTGCCCAACATCCGAGATGGCAGCCGATTACTTGACCAAGAAACTCGGAAAGCAGAAGTTCGAATACTGCATGATGCTGACTGGACAAGGCCACGTCACCAGCAGCGACACTCCAGAAGCGAAGGGGAGTGTTGGAAACAATAAGTCCTAAGTGCGCTTCTGTCGTATCAAAACCCAAGGCACCAAGCGAAGCAGTCCCAATCGAAGCATCGAGTCAACCTCGGAGGTTAGGGTAACCGCCTGGAGGTTACGAGAAAGTCAAAGGTCGCTGACCTTTGACTCGACAATCACAGCGCGACAGTTAAGGACACACAACTGACTCGTTACAGAGCAGTTGCCCGAGTCGCACTGTATCGAACCGCAACAGCAATACAGTTATCTACCTATCTATTCGTATTCCCTGTACTCTTATATAAATCCTTGTATTTGCTTGTTTAATTCAATCTACTTTGCTCTCACACACCAGTGCAAGGTCGGTTCACAATCCTCATCAAACGCTTCCGCTATTACAAGTTTTCTACCCAAGAGTTCTCCTCTGCAAAGATCCTAAGGGCTATTTTCTCAGCCCAACACCAGATACGGTACCAGATACGTTACCAGATACGGTACCAGATACGGTACCAGATACGGTACCAGATACGTTACCGGTACTTCTGGGAAGTCAGCGCCTTTTTGTTACTCGTACAAGCATGTTCTCTGGTGTTCTGACCCGAGGCATGTCATGCTGGTATGTAATGTCATCACCTAATTGCTGAGCACAGTGCAGGCACTAATGAACCATTACTGAACTCAGAAATCAAAAGAAACCGTTACACTGTAATTTACGGTATTATTCATGGAGCACGGATGGAGGACCTCTGGTGCTGCTATGAAGCATCCAATGGTTCCAGCGGCGAGAGAGGCACAGTGCAGGATGCAGTCCACTTCCATGTGCTCCACCCTGCCCTGCTGTGCCCAAGCAATCACCTCTTTCTCCTCTATTGCCTCGTCCATGCATGCAAGTTTTCCACGCACTCGAATTAGCTGCTCACTGCTACAACCTCTATTGCCTCTCTATTGCCGTGTCAACATGTTACGAAGCGACCAGGGGCTTTAACCGTGAAAGCCGCAGGATGCCGTCCACCTCCATGTGCTCCACCCTGCCCCGCGCCATGACCTCTATCAACACTATTATCTCTATGATGTATCCAAGGGCTTTAAACGGGAGAGGCGCAGGATGCCGCCCACCTCCATGTGCTCCACCCTGCCCCGCGCCATCACATCACACCTACCAGCTGTAATCCCCTCGCTCATGTATCCTCATAGAATAGCAAGTGCAGTGGAGCTACGAAGCATCCCGGGGCTTTAACCGAGAGAGGCGCAGGATTCGATCCACCTCCATGCGCTCCACCCTGCCCTGTGCGATCACCTCTATCACCAGTACTGCCTCTATGATGTAAATCTGATGTTACGAGGCATCCAAGGGCTTTAAACGCGACAGCCGGAGAATCCAATCCACCTCCATGTGCTCCACCCTGCCCTGCGCTGTGAAATCACTGCTACCACCTCTACTGCCTCTATTGCAATGTTAACATGTTACGAAGCATCCAGGGGCTTTAAACGGGAGAGCCGCAGGATTCGATCCACCTCCATGTGCTCCACCCGCCCTTCCACGATCACCACTACCCACTCTATTGTCTCTGAATCGCCTCTACTGTATCAGTATCCCTGTTCTTATGACGCATCGAGTGGTTTCAGCCTTGAGAGGCGCAGGATTCGATCCACCTCCATGTGCTCCACCCTCCCCTGCGCGATCACTGCTACCACCTCTATTGCCTCTATTGCCTTGTCAACATGTCACGAAGCATCCAAGGGCTTTAAACGGGAGAGGCGCAGGATGCGGTCCACCTCCATGTGCTCCACCCGGCCCTGCGCGATCACCTCGTCCAGACACAGACAAACCTTGCCATACCGGTCCAGCAGCGCCGCCTGGGTCGGCGTGCGCTTGCACGCCGCCCGGAGCAGATCGAGAATCATAGTGAGGATCTCCGACACTGGGTGTTGAGAGGGGGGGGGGGGGGGGGGGGGGGGGGCGGGGTGGACAAGAGGAAAGGGGAGAAGAAAGAGGTGGGAAGTGCATGACGCCCGGAGCAGATGGAGAATCATAGTGAGGATCTCCAGCAGTGAATATCAGGGAAGAGGAGGGAATGGGGTTGGGGAGGAGCGGAAAGGGGGGACGGGACGGGTGGGTTGAAGGGGGGGTTGTGGGAGAAAGTGCGGGTGGGTGGATGTTACAATGAGCATTGTGGGAAAAGCATCTGAAATACTTCACAGTGAGCAAGTGGAGAATCATGGGAGAAAAGAAAAACAGTTGTCTTCGATTAGAGGGGAAGGAAGGGAGTGGGCGCGAGGGAGACATGGCTGGCGAGAGAGGAGTTGAAACGATACCAAGAGGGGTGGCAATACGATAGAAGGCTCAGAACAGATCAGGGAGGACCAGAGAGGATCAGGGAGGATCAGGGAGGATCAGGGAGGATCAGGGAGGATCAGGGAGGATCAGGAAGGATCAGGGAGGATCAGGGAGGATCAGGGAGGATCAGGAAGGATCAGGGAGGATCAGGAAGGATCAGGGAGGATCAGGGAGGATCAGGAAGGATCAGGGAGGATCAGGAAGGATCAGGGAGGATCAGGGAGGATCAGGGAGGATCAGGAAGGATCAGGGAGGATCAGGGAGGATCAGGAAGGATTGAAGAGGCTCAGGATGTATATGACTTAGAGTGTACAGGCAGACGCAGTGCGGGAGACACATGCCAGCTCATCGTACTCACCTGCCAGCTCAGCAGCATACCCAAATGGCAGGTGCAAGCAACTCGCCAAACCCACTACTAGCTCACCGGTGTTTTTGAGAATTCTCAAAAACACTCACCATACTCACCCGCCAGCTCAGCATACTCGAGACCAGTTCAGCGTACTCACATGACAGCTCAGCACACTCACATGCCAGCTCATCGTACTCGTCGTCCCCAATGAGGTAGATGCGGATGTCAGCAATAGATGTGTAGACCACGTAGGTGTTGCTGGGATGAGGGGAGGGAAGGGGAGAGGGTGAGGGGAGGGAATGGGGTTAATGGGTAGGAGGGGAACGTATGCACAGAACGCAGGGATGTCAGAAATAGACGTGTATACCACGTAGGTGTTGCTGGGATGGGTTGAGGTTGAGGCGAAATAAGGGGAGGCGAGATGAAGGGATGAAGTGAGGAGATGAGGTGAGACGAATAACAACCACACAGCTCAGGAAAAGAAAAGGTGCGGAGATTTCAGCACTGAGTGGTGCTAAATGTGGCCAGGGAGAGAAGGGGGAGGGGAGGGGAGGGGAGGCGAGAGGGGTGAGGAGTGAAGGGAGGAGGGTGAGGCGAGACAATGGAGGATTCAAAAGGAAATGACGGAGGCGAGGGGATGCATGGAGGAGCGAGAAGGGGAATAAGTCAACTGGGCAGGAGAGACAGCAACAACTGCAACCAAACCACGCAGGTGTCGTTGGGTGGTGAAGCACCTACGTGTAACACCTACTTGTATACAGCTACTTGTAACGCCTACTTGTTTAGAGCTACTTGTAACGCCTACTTGTGACACTTGTTCGTAACGCCTAACACCTACTTGTCACACATACTTGTAAAAAACCACGAAATGCTCTTCAAGAACTGCTGTGGAGAGGTTGTCGTGACCCAGCTTGAAGAGGAACGCTCTTTTTTCTATCGAGCAGTGCAATGTAACACCTAGTTGTAATACCTACTTGTAACGCCTACTTGTAACACCTACTTGTAACACCTACTTGTAACACCTACTTGTAACACCTACTTGTAACGCCTACTTGTAACACCTACTTGTAACGCCTACTTGTAACACCTACTTGTAACGCCTACTTGTAACGCCTACTTGTAACACCTACTTGTAACACCTACTTGTAACACCTACTTGTAACACCTACTTGTAACGCCTACTTGTAACACCTACTTGTAACGCCTACTTGTAACGCCTACTTGTAACACCTACTTGTAACACCTACTTGTAACACCTACTTGTAACAGGCCACGAATTGCTCTTCAGGCACAGCGGTGGAGAGATTGTCGTGACCCAGCTTGAAGAGGAACGCACGCCATTGGCCGCGCTCGTCCGCTGATAGCCCGTGGAATCTGATTGGTCAGGTGGATCAGGCATGGGAGGAGAAATATCTTAGTTAATTCAAAAACGGGATCTGACTGGTCTGGTATATCAATCACAGGTGGAGAAAACAAGGTAACGGCTTGAGCCGACTGCCGCTCCCGCTTCTTGCCCTTGACTGCCTAACAGTCCTTCTGTTGCTTTGTTCGAGGAAAGGGCCAAAGAGGACGACGAGAGGGGCGAGTAGTAGGAAGAGGTTGCTTCTGATACGTCTCAAAAAACTCTCATTTCAACTGCCACTCCCGCTTCTTGCCCGTGTCCTCTTTGTCCTTCAGTTGCCTTGCTCGAGGAGAGGGACAGAGAGGACGACGAGAGGGGCGAGTAGGAAGAGGAGAGGGACGCGGACCGAGGAAGGTGAGCAGGAACGAGGAGAGGGAGGAGGACTCTTTGCCAATTCCTCACCTTTCCAAGAGAATATTCCCTGTCTTATTCGTTATAAGCAGGCACTTGAACATGTCTGCTTCTATTTAATCCGAATATTCGCGGTATCAGTCAGAGTCGAAACTGAAACTGCGGTATCCTATCGAAGCTAGCGCTATGCTGCAAGCATTGAATCTGCGAGAGCTATTCTGCCATGCTCGTTTGCACTCCTCACGTTTCCAAGGGTTTTCGAAGCTCGTTCGTGAGCAGATGAGTTTGTAAGTGCTCTTCTCTAGGCTCGAATCGACTCGCAACCGAAAGAGCCTCTCGAAGCCCTCGAAGCCCCAGCGCCACGGCAGCAACACACTACGTGACGAGGCACTACCACTGATCTGCAAGGCTCCAAATGGGACTGACGAGAATCAGCCGGGACCGGCTTGCTCTCTCGCTAGATTCTAGTTCGCAACTCGGCTGAAAGACTCGCTGCTGGCAGTGCGCGTTTTGAATTTACGGAAGCCAGGCAAGGGGGGATAGAATGTAAATGTTGTTTAGGGTTCGTCTATCTCGGTTCGTAGCTTTTCTTCACGTTTGAGAACGGTTTCCAGGTAAACCACTTTCAGAAACGCTGCGCACCGAACTTAACCATTGCATATGTCAATCTCGCCCGTAGTCAACTCCTGACACACTTCTTCTATCCATATTTCGGGGCTGTTCGCCAGCACCAATGAAGCAAAAAACCATGGGATGTGACGGGATCAGGAAGGTGGGTCTCGCCCCGTCAGTTAGGGTTCGTTTACCTCCGTCAGCCTGGTCAGCCCGTAAAAAAGGTGCCGAGCCTCCCCAATTGTCCAAACCGACAATCAAAGTGGGTGTCTTGCGAACGCCCCCATTTGTCAACCAAAACGAACTGCTCGACGGCATATGGAAGCGGGGACGCAACTTCGTCCCCAGGCAAAGTTCCATCCCCAAGCCATGCCATCGCCATGCCGGCCCTGCTCGACAGGCACGCAAACCCTTCCGCGGCACGTTCGCGGCTGTTTCGACTTAGGCTTTTTTTTTTCAGCGGTCAGCCCGCAATCTGGTGTTTTTGGGCTTTAACGCTCTGTATCATGAAGGGTTAAGGGTTAGCCTGTCGAACGCGACGTTAACCCTTCAAGTTCAGCCCCCCCGAAAGCTCCCAGCCCCTTCTCTCAAGCGAAGACTTTAGCCTAGCTCTAGCACAGCCCTCCTATCCCCAGAAGGGCTAGGCTAGGGTTTCATACAGGAGGGAATACCACTCCATACTCTACGAAAAAATTCCCACCAGAGCCCGTGCCCTAACCTCTCCCATCTCTGCCCTGAAAATGTCCCATCCTCCAACAACCAAACCAGTCAGAGAGATAAGTGCACGCTTTTTTATTCCTGGTGCCCATGTCATCCCTCCACAAATTTTCATCCCTGCCCACGATGAAGATGGTGGAAGGAGGGGCTGCAACATCGCCATGACAACCCCCTCCTTCCGACCTTGGGAGGCGCTGTTTCCGATTTGGGGGGAGGGGGGGGTAGGTGTCAGTAGATCTGCACTGTGGATGCCCGATTGATCCTGGAGATGGTTACAGGCGCGTTCGCCTGGGGGGTTATGGGCGCACTGACCCGCTACTGAAACAAGCCCTTGTATCCCAATGGTCTAGTGGTTGGGATTCTGACATGGTATCAGAGCGGTCTTGGGTTCGTTTCCCGGTGTATGCACATGTAGGCCGTTGCCCCTGTGCTTAGTCCTGGGCCTCCCAGTGTGGGGGGGTGTCAGTAGATCTGCACTGTGGATGCCCGATTGATCCTGGAGAGGGTTACAGGCGCGTTCGCCTGGGGGGTTATGGGCGCACTGACCCGCTACTGAAACAAGCCCTTGTATCCCAATGGTCTAGTGGTTGGGATTCTGACAGTAGGCTAGGAGAAGTTACTTCGAAATCACCTCTTAGCTTTAGCCTAACCCTAGCGCTCCAAGGAGGTGCCTGCCTGTCGAGCAGGGCCGCTGCGTTTTTCTAAGCACAGCGATGGCACAGCCGTCGCATTGCCGTTCAAAGGGGATTGGGGGGAAGGTGGGGACGGAGGTTCCCTAGAAATCCAAACCACCTGACGGGGGAAGGGCGGGCCAAAGGCGGAAGCAGCACTCGGATCCTCTGCTTCGACCGGGATTCATTTTTTTTGGCGAAACTCCATTTTGCCCGTGGCGAGACGATTTTACTCGGATTTGACTCGGATTCGGCGCAAAAGGGTGTTGGATCTTACAAAATCCAAACCACCTGATGGCGCAACGAAATGGGCGCAAGAGTGGTTACACTACCGGTTTGGATTATCGACGGTCGCACGAAAGCGACGTCGCAACCACTGTTGTACAGTCTTTGTAGATAAACTTTGTTGTTGACACTTTGGTGTAATTCTGACAAGCAGAATGTCAAAATGGCTAAGTCAACATTCTATATGGTTTGGCTCATAACTCCATAATTTGTTGGTCATTTGCACACAAACATGGATTTCCAGCATCTCCTTGATATCCTCTACTTGCGGGCATGAGTTTGTTATTTTGTCAAATTTGTTCCATTTTGTCACTTTTGGGTCAACTAAGATTGCTCATAGCACATGTAAAGTCATTCTCTGGGCATCACACACATGTGTTATGTGGTGACCATTTTTTTTAGCATTTTTAGTGTTATGACACCTGTTCCAGCCCCCCTGAACATTTTCAGCTATATGCAAACTGATTTGGTGGACTTTTTCTTGCAAGGAAGTTAGTGTTGAGTTGCCTGCTGTGATGTGTCTGGTGAAATCACCCTACTTCTCCTTGGGCCAATGAGCCCATTTTGATAGGGCACTGTCATAACACCTAGTCCTGATCCCTATCCAGTTCTCACTTCATTTCATCAAGGTTTGCCATGCCTTTCATGTTATATTCTGTAGGCGGGTGCAGAAATCTGTACAGAAATGCCTGGATTTAGGTTTCAATTGAAATCACCCACTTCTCCTTGAGCAAATGAGCTGATTTTTATAGGGGACTCTCACCACACATATTCCAGACCCCCACATGAAATTCACCTCATTTACCCAAGGTTTGATATGTGTTTTAAGCCTTGTTGTGCAGCAGTCTGCAGAATTCTATGCAGAATTGCCTGGAATCAGGTTTCAATTGAAATCACCCACTTCTCCTTGAGCAAATGAGCTGATTTTTAAAGGGGACTCTCACCACACATATTCCAGACCCCCACATGAAATTCACCTCATTTACCCAAGGTTTGATATGTGTTTTAAGCCTTGTTGTGCAGCAGTCTGCAGAATTCTATGCAGAATTGCCTGGAATCAGGTTTCATTTAAAACCACCCACTTCTCCTTGAGAAAATGAGCTGATTTTTATAGGGGACTCTCACCACACATATTCCAGACCCCCACCTGAAATTCACCTCATTTACCCAAGGTTTGATAGGTTTTTAAAGCCTTGTTGTGAAGCAGTCTGCAGAATTCTGTGCAGAATTGCCTGGAATCAGGTTTCAATTGTAATCACCCACTTCTCCTTGAGCAAATGAGCTGATTTTTATAGGGGACTCTCACCACACATATTACAGACCCCCACCTGAAATTCATCTCATTTACCCAAGGTTTGATAGGTTTTTTAAGCCTTGTTGTGCAGCAGTCTGCAGAATTCTGTGCAGAATTTCCTGGAATCAGGTTTCAATTGTAATCACCCACTTCTCCTTGAGCAAATGAGCTGATTTTTATAGGGGACTCTCAACACACATATTCCAGACCCCTACCTGAAATTAATATCATTTACCCAAGGTTTGATAGGTTTTTTAAGCCTTGTTGTGCAGCAGTCTGCAGAATTCTGTGCAGAATTGTCTGTAATCAGGTTTCAATTGAAATCACCCAATTCTCCTTGAGCAAATGAGCTGATTTTTATAGGGGACTCTTAACACACATATTCCAGACTTCCACTTGAAATTCATCTCATTTACCCAAGGTTTGATATGTTTTTAAAGCCTTGTTGTGCAGCAGTCTGCAGAATTCTGGGCAGAATTGCCTAGAATCAGGTTTCAATTGAAAACACTCACTTCTCCTTGAGCAAATGAGCTGATTTTTATAGGGGACTCTAAACACACATATTCCAGACCCCCACATGAAATTCACCTTATTTGCGTAAGGTTTGATATGTGTTTTAAGCCTTGCTGTGCAGCAGTCTGCAGAATTCTGTGCAGAATTGCCTGGAATCAGGTTTCATTTGAAATCACCCACTTCTCCTTGAGAAAATAAGCTGATTTTCATAGGGGACTCTCACCACACATATTCCAGACCCCCACCTGAAATTCACCTCATTTACCCAAGGTTTGATATGTTTTGTAAGCCTTGTTGTGCAGCAGTCTGCAGAATTCTGTGCAGAATTGCCTGGAATCAGGTTTCAATAGAAATTACCCACTTCGCCTTAAGCAAATGAGCTGATTTGTATAGGGGACTCTCAACACACATATTCCAGACCCCCACCTGAAATTCATCTCATTTACCCAAGGTTTGATATGTTTTGTAAGCCTTGTTGTGCACCAGTCTGCAGAATTCTGTGCGGAATTGCCTGGAATCAGGTTTCATTTGAAATCACCCACTTCGCCTTGAGCAAATGAGCTGATTTTTATAGGGGACTCTCACCACACATATTCAAGACCCCCACCTGAAATTCATCTCATTTACCCAAGGTTTGATATGTTGTTTAAGCCTTGTTGTGCACCAGCCTGCAGCATTATGGGCAGAATTGCCTGGAATCAGGTTTCATTTGAAATGACCCACTTCTCCTTGAGCAAATGAGCTGATTTTTATAGGGGACTCTCACCACACATATTCCAGACCCCCACCTAAAATTCACCTCATTTCGTAGACGTGTAGTATGTTTTTCACTCTCTCCTCTGCAGGCGGGAGCAGATCACTTTGGTGAAATGTACAACATTTGTTTTGTATTCAAATGCCACTGTTATACGGGTGCTAATGATAGGGCACTCATCTCACACTTATAGGATTACCCGTTATAGAATTGGGTGTGCTAATCATGCAAAGTTCATGCTTGTGTTTGTTTTATGGGTTACAAAAACTAGTACTATACGTGCTACACGAGTACCCCTATAGCGGTAATCTCGGATATAGGGTGTCATTCGGTTTCTGACACGTGTGACAGGTCGCAGAGACAGCTCTATTTCCAGGTTGCGGAGGGAACCATGCGGATGGGATAGCTATACGTGGCAGCCTGTCATTAACATGTCACAGGACACCATTCTTTTTTTTTAGGGGCTGCCCGTCACCATTTCGTACTAGGTCGAGGCAAAGCTGAGACCATGCAATGCACCGCAGAACATGCAATATGCTAACATGGCATATAAGGTTGGCAATCAACCAACCAGCAACTGAAGTAAAACATTTAGGAGAACAATCTGGCGACAAATAGGTAAATCATTGCAGAAGTATGCAAAGAATAGTTCGCAGATGTTCGAAGGGAAATGGTGAGAAGCCTAATATTTTGAGCCAGGGGGCAGAAAATTCTTTCTACGCCTGGCGTTTGTAGCAAAGCCTTTCCCACCTTCTTTGAGGACAGAGCACAACCAATTCTACCAGCAAAGCAGAAGTTGGGATCAGGGTGGGTGCACCAAAGCTCAACGTCATTCTCGCCATTCCAATCTGAGTCGAGGTTCCACAACTAGCCTCACAAGCTTCCCTCTCATTCTAGTGTCGGCCTCTAATCCTGCAGGTGGACAGTGTATGGTAGTAACCGTTTAGCTACCTGCCATCTTCTGGCATACTTACGCGATGTCGTCCCAGCTAATCACAGACGGCTGCGGATTGTCGGTACGACTAGGGCGGGAGTCTTATGAAAGGTTAATCGCTCGTCAGGAAGAGTGGAACGAGGCGTTGTTACTTTTCGGCCTTGTGTATGTATCCAAGCGCGGTTTGTAACGCACGCTGACTTCATCGTCACGTTGAACCCTTGTTTTTTTAGACAGGCACCTGCTATCTTCTTACCTCTGCGACATGTCGGCTTGGATGCAGGGAGGTTGCCAAGGACAAGATTGGGGATCCTCGCGTTCGCAAGGACATAAAGATTCTGGCTCCTACCGAGCATCGGCGTTTGAGGTCTGCCGTCCCGCGTGTCCCCAGTTGTGGCAGCGAACATCGGTCGCTGTTGGACTACCAGATGGTTTTAATACCCATGATATCAGAGTGAGTTTCCTGACATGGATCCGCAACGTTTGTCGATGACACCAGCTATCTTGCTAATCCAAACTTCCATGTACCGCAGAGTCCCTGTTGTTCACTCGACGGCGATCAGTCTCATGGTGCTGATGAACCCGCAAGATTTGTTAGCACATCCCCGCGGAGAGTACCGTACGCGTCTGCTACACTTCGACCCTAAATCTGCAATTCCAACCCATCGCCACAGCGAGCATGCCAAGGAGGTGTTCGAGTAAGTATCACTCCTTAATCAGATGTGCGGTTTGTATGGACGCATGTTATTGATTATTTGCGACCCCCTTGCCCTGCAGCTGGCTTATCCGACAACTAGATGTGGAATACAGCCGAGGTCGCAGGGTCTCTGGCAGCCACGCCGAAGCGGTGTAGAAAGATTTGAGGGCTCGCCTAGATGATCTGATTCTGGAGGAAGGCAGGGTAAGGAAGGAGGCTCTATTTTTATGATTTAAGCGTTGTATGATATTAAGCTTGTAAAAAGTAACGGGAGTGTCTGACAACCACCTTTTCACGCACATGTTGCAGATCAACAAGGTTCAGGGACAGATGCAAGTGGGTTCCGGGCTGCATGTTACCCATGTGTTCAGCAAGTTGCTGGACAAATGGGGGGATGTCATGGCGATTCAGTCTGTAGAGCCGATGATGGTCTTAGGGAAGGGGAAAAACAGCGCGAAAGAAATTCGGAGTATGCTGGAGTCGACCTGCAGGGCCTTCTTCGACCTGCAAGGAGTCCAGCTCCGTCCCGCCCCGGATGCAGTCATGACGACCCACTGTGCTCGAGTGGTAGAGAGCGCACCCGCACAGAACAGATCCGAAGCGGTAGAGGGACAGATAGACGTACCTGCCGCAAACCGGGACGCAAATCCAAGAGTTGGGTTTATTTCATATTCCCGCCGACCTGCACCGGGGGATGCACTACTGAGTGGCCGGACATCAAGGTCAGCCACTGCGGACGAGCGTGATAGGTCTGGAGTTAGGCAGCTCAGGTTTGCTGATCGGGTTAGGAGGCCGTGGGAACGCGAAGCACGGATGGAGACCGACTTGGCAAGTGTAGCAGATGAAGGCGAGGAGGGTGTAGAAGATCCACAGCTGCCAAGTCAGGTCGAACAGGCAGAGGAGCAGTGGAGGAAGGCGGGCTGAAGAGATGCAACGGCGCAGTGATGGCGACACCGATCCTACCGTCTCTTTCCCGGGAACTGGAGACATACGTGAAGCATGGGAGCGTGGGGCACGAGCCGCTGCAAGGGCACACGTGGGAGAGGCAGGAGAGGAGCTCGCCAGCAATGTGCGGCAGCATATCGAGGAGGATAGGGGATACGTGAAAGTTCGCTTGCCCAGCCTAAAGCGGAAGGCGGCTGAAGAGGCCCGGAGAGGGGACGTCGACGTGCCAGAGAATTCGGGAGAGGCGAAAAAGAAGGAGGAGAGCAACGCTGGTGCTAAGGCTCATAAGATGGTGGAGGTAGAGGCGCACCAGAATGCAGAGGATGCGGTCCATCGGTTCGTCGATGCAGAGGCGGCACTTACGGCAGAGGACGGGGCGCCAAAGGAAGTAGAGTCTGCGGCGCAGCAGAAGGTGGGTGCAGAGGCGGTCAAGGGTGCGGAGGCAGTCGCGCGTAAAGAAGCGGGTGCAGCAGCAGAGCTGACGTCGGAGGCAGTCGAGCTGATGGTAGTGGAGGCAGTGGCGCAGAAGGAATCAGAGGCAATGGCGAGCCAGAAGGATGAGGCAGCGGCGCAGCAGAATGATGAGGCAGACGTAGATAAGGAATCAGCGGCAGCAGCGCAGCAGAAGGATGAGGGTGCGGCGCCCAGGATGGTTGAGGCACAGGCGCAGAAGGAATCAGAGGCAGCGGCGCAGCAGAAGGAGGAGGGTGCGGCGCCGAAGATGGTTGAGGCAGAGGCGTAGAAGGCATCAGAGGCAGCGGCGCTGCAGAAGGAGGAGGGTGCGGCGCCAAAGATGGTTGAGGCAGAGGCGCAGAAGGCATCAGAGGCAGCGGCGCTGCAGAAGGAGGAGGGTGCGGCGTCGAACATGGTTGAGGCAGAGGCGCAGAAGGAATCAGAGGCAGCGGCGCTGCAGAAGGAGGAGGGTGCGGCGCCGAACATGGTTGAGGCAGAGGCGCAGAAGGAATCAGAGGCAGCGGCGAGGGAGAAGGATAAGGCAGCGGCGCTGCATATGGAGGAGGCAGACGTACATAAGGAAAGAGAGGCTCGGAATAAGGCAGAAGCAGCGGCGCGGCAGAAGGCGGAGGCAGAGGAGCAGAAACAGGCTGCGGAAGAGGCACTACAACTGGCTCGGGCAGAAGCGCGGAAGAAGGCTGTTGTAGAGGCGCAGAAGAAGGCGGAGGGTGAGGCGCAGAAGATGGCAGAGGCCGAGGAGCAGAAGTAGGCTGAGGCAGACGCACGTAGGAAGCCAGATGGAGAGGACGGTTCAGATGGGAATAAAATGGTACAGACAGAGGGACGGGAGACGGCGGGTGCTGAGGGGCACATCATCGCAGAGGAAGAGGGGCAGCATAACGAGGAGGCAGCGTCGCAGGTATTCGCATACCGAGAGACGCAGAGCATGGCAGAGACAGGGCGTCAAAATACTATGGAGGAGGTTCGTGTCGTCCCGGAGGCTGGAGTGGGGCACTATGAGGGAGATGCGCTGGAAACAGAAGAGGAGCAGAATGAGGAGGATACGGTACATCCGGCAGTCCGGATATTTTTGGGAGGAAGTCCGACGCGGGGACCAGGAACCGGGGTAGAGGGGCCATGGAGGGTGGCAGACGATGGGGCGCCTAGGGATACAGTGGATCTCAACAGGCAGAGGCGGCCCACCCTTCACCAGAGAGCAGTGGAGAGGAATCTCGGCCAAGGCGGGGTGGCAGAAGCGTTTTGGCAGGTAGAGTGGGTCGAGGCAGAGACGGCAATACGGCGGATGCTGCATCGGACGAGTACAGTCCTGGTCGAACAAGGTGACAGGTTCGTCGAGGCCGAAAGCTGGGACATAAGCCCGGCAGAGGTAACGCGTCGTCTGACGCTCTTAGCCCGAATGGTGACGCAGACGTTCTGCAACTTGGCGGCCCGCAACAGCAGCATTAGTCGCGACGTGGCCGATCTGACCGTCCATTACTGTCGCGACGCCCTGGCCAACCTGGAAGAAGTCCGCCATGGAAACGAGGAACGGCGGCGCCAAGCTGAAACGGCGGCCAGGTTTCGCGAGGAGGTGGACACGAGACTCTCCAACTTGCAGGAGAGTATCGTAAGGATGAGTGATCAGGTTCGCCAGTCGGGAGGGGGGATGGCGGAGGGCACGTTAAAGAGGGTGGAAGAGAGGTTGAGAGAGGTTCTGAGAGAAGACTCTGAGCGGCGGAACAGGGATAGACTGCAGGACGAGGAGCGGAGGCAGAAGGCCACGAGGAAGGAAGCAGACGCCGCAGAGAGACGGAAGAAGGAACAACAGCAGGAGGAAGCGCGTCGGCAGAAGGAGATGAGAGAGGGAATGAAGGAGATGAAGGAGGCGATGATGAAGGAGATGAAGGCAGAAATGAAGGAGATGAAGGATGGGATGGTAAACCAGATTGTGGGGAGGTTGAGCGCGGTTTTGCGAGAAGAATCCGAGCGGCAGAAGAAGGAGAGGCAAGTGGACGCGGAGCGGCGACAACAGCAGGACGCGAAGAGGAAACAAGTGGCGGATGACGAGGAGAGACACAAGAGGAAACAACTGGACGAGCAATGGCGGAAGGAGGAGGAGGTGAAGAGGAAGGATGTAGAGGCCACAGAGCGGCGGAGGAAGAACAAACATCAGGAGGAAGAGCGACGGCAGAAGGAGGTGGAGGCGGGAATGAAGGAAGTGATGGAGGCTGTGAAGGAGATGAAGACGGGGATTAAGGGGTGGAAGGAGGGGATGCTAAGTGAGGTGGAAAAGCGGCTGTCAATGGTTCTGAGATTGGACGCAGAGCGGCGGCAAAAGGAGGAGCAGGGTAGGAAGGCAACAGAGGGAGATCAGGGACAGAAGGAGGATGCGCAGAGGAAGGAGGCAGAGGAAGCAGAGCGGGTGGAGAGGGAGAAACAGCAAGAGATGGCGCTCCTGCAGAAGGAGGAGGCGCAGCGGAAAGATGCAGAGGAGGCCGAGAGGCAGGAGAGGGAGAAACAGCAGGAGATGGCGCGCCTGCAGGAGGAGGAGAGGCAGAGGAAGGAGGCAGAGGAGGTAGAGCGGCGTCAGAGGGCGAAACAGCAGGAATTGGACCGCCTGCAGAAGGAGGAGACGCAGAAGAAGGAGGCAGAGGAGGCCGAGCGGCAGCAGCGGGCGAATCAGCAGGAGATGGAGCGCCTGCAGAAGGAGGAAGCGCATAAGAAGGAGGTAGAGGAGGCCGAGCGGCAGCAGAGAGCGAAACAGCAGGAGATGGAGCGCCTGCAGAAGGAGGAAGCGCAGAAGAAGGAGGCAGAGGAGGCCGAGCGGCAGCAGAGGGCGAAACAGCAGGAGATGGAGCGCCTGCAGAAGGAGGAAGCGCAGAAGGAGGCAGAGGAGGCGGAGCGGCAGTAGAAGGCGAAACAGCAGGAGATGGAGCGCCTGCAGAAGGAGGAAGCGCAGAAGAAGGAGGCAGAGGAGGCCGAGCGGCAGCATAGGGCGAAACAGCAGGAGATGGAGCGCCTGCAGAAGGAGGAAGCGCGGAAGAAGGAGGCAGAAGAGGACGAGCGGCAGCAGAGGGCGAAACAGCAGGAGATGGAGCGCCTGCAGAAGGCGGAGCAGTGCCGAGCAGAGAAGAGGGCCAGACTTGCATCCTGGAGGCAAAGGCAAAGGCGATGGCTGAAGAGACGGAACGATTGGCAAGGGAGATGGAAGAGGAGGATTTGACCATGCAGGGGGAGGGGACCTGGACAGGAGCCGAGGAGGAAATAGCTGAGGGGCTGGGGAGTTTGCTGTTGATTGAGAGCGGGGAGGCGAATGTAGCAGAGGGCGTGGCTAGTGTTCCTGTACGGAATGTAGAGGTGTCCAGGAGGCGGCCTAGACAAGAGGACAGGGAGCCGGAGGGTCATGCGGCTAAGAGACGGCGTGCAGCTGGAATACAGGAGTTGATACCCATAATCCAAGGGGAAAAGAAAGGGATGAAGATCGACAAGTGTGACAACAGGAAAAACGCCGCAGTGGACGACAAGGGTAAGACTTTGGGTGTCTGCCTGCCGTTCAGGGGAAGCGGGTTCTCTCAACGGGACGAGGGAGCTTTGCAGAAGTGGACGTCTGAGCAGACCGTCGGCGGCCGGAAGCGGAACCTCGGCTCTCACAAAACGGTGTGGGAGAGGGCATACACGGTCGCAGTCTGCTGGAAGTTCTACTTCCCGGATATTGACATGCAGGCATACGGCATGAATCCAAACCGTATTAACAAGTGGCGGGAAGACCTCGACTTCACAACGTGGCTTCCAGCAGAGGTGTGGAGCGTCATCAACGAACTCCACCTGGACAAACCGGACGGGTGAGTGTTTATGTGATGGACAGTTGCAACTTCTAAACACCCGCGAAGTTCGATGGTTCTGATCTTGCGACACTGGTGTCTTGTGCAGATTCTCACTCGTTCAAACCAACACGGCTCTTCGGCAGCAGCAGGGGGATGGCTTTCAGGTAGCTGCCTGCGCTGGTGTCGGAATAACTGCGTGGCAGAAGATGGTGGGAGGCGTGGATGGTGAAAACGGCTATTCGACGGAAGAACACGCAATCGGACTTGCCGCCACGTTGTCTATAATGTGGGCCGCATCCACGAATGTGGACCAGACCCAGTGGGAGACGGGCGCAACAACAGCTGCACGTGGAACTTCTACGGCCATAGCATCTTCTGCTGCCAGATCGTCCACTGCTGCCACCGCCTCGTCGGCTGCCTCGTCATCTTCTGCGGCCGATGTGCCCTCTGCCGTCCACAATGCCCTTGCGACGCTTGCAGCCTCGGTTGCTTGCGTTGCGGTTGAGGCGATGAGGTCGGTAAAAGATCAGGAGCATGACAAGGAAGCGTGGATTCTGCCCCTGTCGGATGCGCTGCTGAAAGCGCTTCCGGCAGAGTCGCGAGCGGCCGAGGATGCGAAGCGGATGACGAGGGTGGTGGCAAAGGTGGTGACCTCTTGGTGCCTATGCAGCATGGCATCAAGAGGCCTTCGCCAGCACCAGGGCGTCTGGCTCGGAGTCCTGCAGAAGAAGTTGGGCGGCCGGGATACCACAACAGGGGCGGATAAGGAGAAGAAAACCAAGAAATCGTCCGCGAAGGGGAACGCGACGAAGGATGCGTCGACGGAGGAGAACACCGGCACTGGCGGCCAGGAGTGATAGAGGCAGACGGGTTCTTTGGAGGTCTTGTTAGTACCGCAGAAGAAAAAGATTTTCCTTTTCGTTTTTTTTTTATTTTATCCGTGTATAAATATAGGTGTTGTTGTATACAATACAATGAGAGATGTATTTTTGCTCTGCAAACCTTCACTACACTAGCAAAATTTGTAGGGCGCGTATGGAGCTAGCAATGCAGCCGATAGAACTCGCCATCAAAGGGAGGGCCAGGCAAATAAAATAATTGACGACATGACGGCCTTCTACGACACTTAATCTACGTTTAATTCTCGGCTTCTACGAGGAGGTAGAAGTATGGGGCTAAACAATCGCATAACATCTTGTCTTAGGGAGCACCTTGTTAAGAACGTATACGGTATTCCTATGCACAGACCTTTCTGCTATGGAGATTGAATTCCTCGACGCCGAATTCTGGAGGCAAATTGGAAACGCCACTATACCGCAGAAAAACCCACGTATTGATAATTTCTACCGTCATGGATAGGATCTTCGTTGCTACTAGTAGAATATGACACTCCTTTGCCCAGAAACATATGCTGAGACTGAATAAATCCACGCAAAAGTCTACCGAGTGACCTAAGAACACAAATCTACAATCGTGAGAGTGAATTCATCGACGCCGCTCTATAGAATAACATCGTATACGATACGACATGACTCCGCAGAATTTCGCCCGGTGTATACCATCGATGTGTGCTTCATTGCATACACCAGAAAAACATTCTACGAAAAACAGCGCGTCCAGGGAAGAAGGTGGCATACAAGCCCCAAATCGGGCTTCTACAGAGACAGACAAGTGCCTGTAGTGCATATAGAGTACAACCGGAATAAAGTACCCAAATAACTAAACCGCCCCACCCTTAAGGTACATGCCCCCTCATTTCTGCTCCTTGCGTTTCGACGCTTCGCCCTTCGCCTTTTCCCGTTCCGCCTTCTTCGCCGCAGCGGTTCGTTGTTTCTCCTCTTCCGCCTTCTCCTGCGCCATGTGTTCCTTGTGGATCTCCTCCCACTCATCATCACCAAACAGCGAAGTTGCCCACTCCTGGTCGCGAAGGCCCTTCTTGACTAACAGCCAGCCCACTCTGCGTTGCGCCAAGTCGTTGACGGTCCTCTTTTCCGTCGACGAACCGGTCTTCTGTTTCTTGATGGTCGGAGTCTCATGCAGCACAGCCACGCCGTTGGTGAATTCCGTGAAGTTGCACACGAGTAAAACCTCGTCCAGCAGCTTAATGGCCGTTGCGGTCGCCGCCTCGGAGCTGTCTTTTCTTAGCGTCTCCACGGAAACCATGACACGATGCACGCGACGCATCTTTCGCTCGCATGCACCCACAGCCATCCCGGGCGTACCTTTGACAGCGAACCGGGAATATGCGGTGATGAAGCTGGAATTCTTGTCCTTCTTATACCGGTCGAACTCTGCAAAGACTTCGCGCAGTGACCGGCCGCCCATGATGAGGCTTGGCTGCACCCACACTTTCCAGGCAGCAGCAACAGTGGTAGCTTCGCGCCAAGACACAACGACCACGACGAAGAATTCTTCGACGGCAACTGGTGCTTTGGATGCGTCCGTTGCCTGGTTTCCTCCTGTTCCCGCGCTCTTCGACGATCCGTCGATCTCTGCAGAGGTGTTTGCCGCGTCATCCTTGGCCGCAACAGACCTCTTGTATGCTTCGAACTCTGCAATGACCCGAGCCTTGTCCTCTCGCTCAGCGGCGAGTTTCTCCCTCAGTTCAGCGTTCTCCATCGCCAACTGCATTTCACGTCCTCTCAAAATCCCAAGCTCCTCCCTGAGCATATTGGCGGTGAGGTGCATCTTATGCAGCTTCTCTTCTGCGGTCGTGCGAAAAATAGCGTCCTGCAGAAACCAACACGGCAGAACTCAGCATGAACGAATAACTCCTCTCTACCACTAATAGCAGGCACTTACTGCTTTGGCGGTGGTTTGGCCGGTTGCCCGAAGCTTCTCGCCCTGGAAGTGAGAGATAGCGACCAGGTACGCCCACTTTTGGAACAGCGGGTGGTTGCACAAGGGGCTCATCTGCACATATGGATGCCTCTCGCAATTGCACCGCGGGTTTCTCACGCCGTGCTGATGGCAGAACGCCCACATCATAGCCAGATCCTGTGCAACAACGAGGCGTCCGATGCTCGCGAGGGTGTCTAGGAACCTCGCCCCCGCATAGTGCCTCTTCAGCGGATCGGTCTGCGCAACGTTCCATTCTTCGACCTGACGGGACGAGTATGCAGGAGAAATGGGACGGTTCATAATTGCGTATCAAAATTAAGCTACGAACGCGAAGACTGTACACTAGCACGTACCTTCTTCCAACCCTCTTCGACCCAGGGGAAAATGTGAAGCCTCAAGAGATCCAAGAGCTGCAACCACTCATCCTTCTCCTTAACCTTATGCCGCGGAAGCTTGGCGCGGGCTCTGCCGATCTAGTAGTCTCCACGATCCCCGCTGAATCCTGCCAGCAGCCAAACCGGCTTGAACGGTATGCCGAACACATAACACCTCCGCAACTCCCCCTGCGCCCATCCGCCCAGACTGCCGATATCGTTGTCGGAGCAACCGTCGTCATGGAGTTGTTGCGCTCCGGATCTGCGGAATGCATGTGTTACCTTGCTCAGAATCCATCTCGCCTTCGTCATGGCCCACTTAATCCAGGTGTTATGCGTTTTGTAGTGCATCTCGTCTTGCTTCTGCTTTCCCTGGTCGCCCTTCTTCAAAGAAAAGAAGAGGTGCGCTTTCGTCCACAAGATCGGTTCAGAAAAGTCGAGAGGCTCGACGATACCGGGGTCGTAGCGCAGAGGAACGAGGTCGTAGATGAAATAAAGCCACAGGAACACATGGCCCATTTCGCAGAGCCGCCAGTCCCTATGCCTTGCAAGAAACTGATGACTCAGCTTGTTGTTGGGGTTGGTCTTCGACTTCCTGGAAACAACGACGAGTATGAAAACGTCTAGATACTCGTCGAGGTGTGATGTGCTCCGCGTCATGCGGACAAACAGGTTTCCAAGTCGAATCTTTCGAATGCTGCACCCTCTTCCGAGAAATTGGTGTCCGAGGTGCATCATAACCGGGACTTGCAGAGCCTTCCAGAGAGGAAGCGAGATTTGTGACGGAGGCGTCCGCCACCAGATCTCTAGGAGCTCTTTTCGCAGAACAGTAAGATGCAGCGTCCTATATTGGCTTCCCGTATAGCAATCACCAATTGATCCACGGGTTTGATCTCGACCATCCCTGCATAGAATAGCACAGTAATTATGTAAACCATGTACAACAACATTCACACAAACAGAAAGCACACGTATATGTTACTCACGCGACTTGCTCGTCGTTCAGATCCTTCAGCTTGACTTTGAGATAATCCCGAGCATCCTTGATCCAGTCCTTGGTTAGTGTGATGGAGAAGCCGTAGAGCCTCGCCTCGCACCTGGCAAGGCATCCCATTGCGTTCATCTTTGCCTTGATCATTGAAGCCGTGCACCCCTTTGCCTCCTTCCCCACATATTTCTCGATGTCTGGCCGCATTTTTCCACGCAAAAACTTTGCCTGCTCGTCAGTTTCGCAGAAGAGATACTCGATGTATCGGCCCAGCCTCCATTCCGTGATTCGCGGCTCGTGCAGATGAATCTGCCACTCGTCAGAGCTGCACGACCACCCATCGTTTCCCAAGTTATTGCTCACATGAAACCCAACCTCGTCATGCAGAGAGGGAGCAAGGCTATTTGCCACAAGAACATCTACCATAGTTGCCATGAAGATTATCACCCACCACTTGAAGTGTAGAAAGTGGAAACAATAGTGCCTTCTCGTCCCGGCCTCTATCAGTCGAAGCGGGATTGTTGAACGCCGGATCCTGCTCTTCTTTTCCGCAACGTCGGTCTGCCGCTGCGCATTTCCGGGGGCCGCAGCCTACTCGACATGGCTCGCAGAATCGGGAGGTCGTCGTCGTCCCGGCGATGATTCTCCCTCCTCTTCTGCGTCAGAGTGATCTCCATCCTCGTACCGTTCTTCGGGTGCACCGGGTCGTGGGCGCACTCCATCGCCTCCCGGCCCTTCACTCTCTTCTTCACTCCCCTGGACTTGAATCCGGACGGATGGTTCGTAGAGACCACCCTGAAACAAATCCTCCTCGGTCGCCTCAAACTCGCTATCGTTCTCGCGATCCTGTGCGTAGTCTTGGTCAGTATTTTCAACGTCCTCCAGGTCTTCTTCTCCATCCTCTGCGCCCTGGGCTGCCATGGGGCGAGAGTGGACCGAGCTGTCGGCCATTCACAGATTCCTAATTTATTAGCTAGCAACCGAGACTAGACGAAAGAATCGGATGGTGTCAGCAGCGGTAGGTGGTAACGATTCGCAAGTGTGCAGATAACATAGGCAGAATGCTTAGTGGGCTAAGCGCAGAAGGCGTAAGAGAGTCTGTGCTTCAGACGTCTGCACATTGGTCTTCGAACACCGCCTACAACTTGCGTTTAAATATATCTGCGCCTACAACTTGCGTATACAGGGTCGCTTGACTGTCCCGTACCGTATAGCTCTGTCACACTTTGTTTTACCGCTTTAATTCTCTACAACGAAACAACGAAAATAAGTTCCTACCATTATACGGATATAATCATCTACGGAACCCTTATGCTTGTACATAACTTTCGTGGGTTCGACGATATTATGGATCGGGAGCGAATACTTTTACCGATAAAAGAAGCCTAACGTCGAAGATGTCCGCCTACAAGAGCGGACGACCTACGACAATTGTTCCGGGCAAATACAATCAGTTCTACCGACAAAATATTATACCACACACGTCTGCGCCTACATATGCGACCTAACAAGTACGACTGCAGTTATCCTAACCGGGCTGACCCAAAAAAAAAACCCACTCTATACGACCTACGTCACTATGTCGAGGACGCCAATGTTCTGCCAGTGGGCCAAGCAGGCTTAAAAGATTACGCTGGTGGACTAACAGGTGCTGGATGAAAAGATCTCAAAGAGCTTGCGGAGCATGAAATGCAAATGAAAAGAAGCAAATGAGCACGAAAACATCCATTCATACCCATCCACCACACACAGAAGCCCGTGTCCAGATCTGGTCATCCAACCCTGGGCTGGATGATTCTCCCGCCAAAAAACAACAGTTGGGATATGGTCCTACTAGACGCTGATTGGCTCTTGCAGCCTTGGGACTCTGACAACAACTGTTGCCATGGCCACGTGTGCAGAACACCTACAGTTGGAAAACAATGACTATAAAACACAATGAGCAAACGTAGGATGCTATGTCAGTAGAGCTACACTGTGAGATCCCCGATCGATCCTAGGGAGGGTTACAGGCGCGTTTGCCTGGGGGGTTATGGGCGCACTGACCCGCTACTAAAACAAGCCCTTTTATCCCAATGGTCTAGTGGTTGGGATTCTGACATGGTATCAGAGCGGTCTCGGGTTCGATTCCCGGTGTATGCACATGTAGGCCGTTGCCGCTGTGCTTAGTCCTGGGCCTCCTAGTGTGGGGGGGTGTCAGTAGAGCTACACTGTGAGATCCCCGATCGATCGTAGGGAGGGTTACAGGCGCGTTTGCCTGGGGGGTTATGGGCGCACTGACCCGCTACTAAAACAAGCCCTTTTATCCCAATGGTCTAGTGGTTGGGATTCTGACATGCTACACTTGTACTCATGTTATTTATAAAACACATAAGATCAAAGGTATAAAGGAACACACGTGCTGCAGCTTTAAGGTGGCAGCAAAAAAAAAAACCGAGTAAAAGCATATAACGACGCAAGGAAGACCAGTTGGTCGCAACCGGCCATGCGACCGGCGGTCGTCACTTGTCGGCCAAAGAGTTACGATGGCGAAAAATGTCATTCGCGACAAACATCACTGGCACAAAGGGTCAGGGCAGGTTGGTTGGAACACATTTTTCACGGTCAGGTGGGCGCGGAATTGTGAGCGGCTGGCCGTGTCGTATGCGGCGGAGCCTTGCGCCCAAGCCCTTCGGAATCCGGAACACACGGATCCAAGGCCTCAGATCATGGGGCAAACGCACTCGGAACTCCGCCACAACGTGGTAAGAGTCCCGATGCGGTTTCTTGAACGGCATTACGGCCAAACCTCAGAGGTGGGTTCCGCCTCCGTTTCCAGATGCGGTCGCGATGCCGACGCCATTTTTTTCATTTCAAATTACGATTTCCTGGCGAACAGCACCTTTATCTGCTAGTTTCCTCTATATCTTCACGCCCTCACCTGTCGACCCCGACGCTGCAGGCACGTTTCACTCCATAGCACAAAATTTATTCCGTCAGATGATGCTTGGATTATCACCCTACTAGTTTCGAGACGACGCAAACATGGAAGCGCTTTTCGCCCAATCGCGTGATCTACTCACTCGCGTCACGATGCTCGAGCCGCCGTCAGTTTCCACTCTCGCCTCCCTCTTCGGAATCGCCGTACCCGTTATGTTCCTCCTCGCTCCTGTAGCCTGCCTCGCCACAACATTCATCTCCGCGCCTTACGGTCGACACGTGCGACCCGGCTGGGGTCCCTTAATCCCCGCGCGGCTCGCGTGGATCTTCATGGAGAGCCCCGCGCTTTGGCTTTCCGCCATGGCGTTCAGCTGGGGCTGGCACGGCTGCCACGTGGCAGATCGGAAAGCAGGATCAACGGCGGGTGCGGCGGCAGCGGTATCGGAGGCGACGGATGCGGCACCAGTAATTATGGCGTTTTATCTGGTGCACTATTTTCACCGGGTGGTGATTTACCCGATGCGGATGCGAGCTGAGGGCAAGACGATGCCCGTGACGGTGATGCTTCTGGCGTTCTGCTACAACCTGCTCAACGGCTTCATGCAGGGCTGGCAGTGAGTGCGAGTGAGGGGTGCTGGCTGCTTGCTTGCTCGGTGTGTGCTTGCTCGCCTTCTTGCTGCCCTGCGTGCTTTCTGGGTTTCTGCTACAACCTGCTCAACGGCTTCATGCAGGGCTGGCAGTGAGTGGGGATGAGGGCTGGCAGTGAGTGAGAGTGAGGGATGGCAGTGAGTGAGAGTGAGGAACGGCAGTGAGTGAGGGTGAGGAATGATGCTTGCTTGCTTGCTGGCTGGCGTTCTGCTACAGCCCGCTCAACGGCTTCATGCAGGGCTGGCAGTGAGTGCGAATGACGGATGCTGCTTGCTAGCTCGGTTGAGTGCTCGCTCGCTTGCTTGCTGGTTGGCTAGCGTCCTTCTACAACCTGCTTAACGGATCTATACAGCAGCAGCAGCAGTGAGTGCGAGTGAAGGATGCTGCTTGCTTGCTTGCTGGCTGATTGGCTGGCGTTCTGTTACAACCTGCAATGGATTCATGCAGGAACGGCAGTGAGTGGGAATGAGTTTTGCTTGCTTGCTGGTTGCCGGCTGGTGCCCTGCTGCAACATCCTCTTTTCTCAACGGATTTACTCAAGGACGGCAGTGAGTGAGGGAGGAATGAATAATCGTGCTGGTGCACTCTGATGGAGAGACCAGTAGAAAGCAATAATGAGCCTGCCACGAACGTGTACAAGGAATCTGTGTAGGGATCACTTCAATGAGGGTGCTCGATGGACCTGCAGTAAACAGTACTGCCATGCTCCTAGTGAATCTGCTGGTCCTGATAAAGGTGACTTAGCTGTTCCCCTTTACTGCACCTGTTAACTTTCTCGCAGTACCCCCTTTTTCTCGCCCCCTGTTTCTTACAATTTGACCTATATTTTTTCTCACCATTGTTGTACAGGGTGGGAGGCGCTGGCAAGTATCCTCTTTCATGGCTCTCTTCCATGCAGTCGCATTGGCTCCTCTCTGTTCCTCCTCGGTTGATCACCAACATTGCCAATGTCCTTGTGTTGTGCAGAGTGGGAGGCGCTGAGAAGTATCCACTGTCATGGCTCTCGTCAATGCAGTTTCGCATTGGCTCCTCTCTGTTTCTCCTCGGTTTCATAATCAACATTGCGGCCGATTCAGCTCTTCTTGCTCTAAGGAAAAACCCTCAAGACAAAGGGTACATGATTCCTAGAGGGCCGCTTTTTCACCTGGTTTCCTGCCCGAATTACTCTGGAGAGCTGGCTGAGTGGTTGGGCTGGGCCATATTGACGTGGTCTTGGGCGGGATTGGCTTTCTTTGTATTTGCGTGTGCCAATCTCGTGCCACGTGCAGTGTCCCACCATAGGTGGTACTTGCAGAAATTTGAAGATTATCCGAAACAAAGAAAGGCAGTTGTGCCTTTCTTGCTGTAAAAAATAATAATGTTCTTAAATTGATCCATAAATCGATGTGGGTCCTATTCTGCATAGTTTTTATATCCAGAATATAATCACCACATTTCCACTGCAAATGGTCGTGTGTAACATTTTTTCGCTATCTGTTCCCGTACGCGGAAAAATCGAGGTTGACAGCCAAGTGCCTGGCACTGCGGCTCCGCTCTGCTCTGACAGAACGAGAGTTGATGCAAGTCATTCAGGGGCACGAAGCTCGGTTCATCACGTCTCTTTCGAGGTTTTGTAAGGTTGGCTTTGTTTACAATGCGGTAGTGGGCCTTATTAGAAGTGAATGGCATTGAAAGTGACAGGGAGGAGTAGCTTCCAGGTGCTTCCATTCCACATGCTGCAAGCAGAAGCAATGGCTCTCCTATCCCGAATCCCAAGGCGACTGCTGTGACTGCATTTGTATTTTGTAACTACCATGCATCACCGTTGCTGCTGGCGTGAGATGCAGCATAAGAGTTTGACGTGACCACGTGGCATTAGGTGTTAGAAGCATCTGGTGCGAAGCTCGGAAAGCTTGTCTTTGGCTCCTAACCAAGAGAGAGTCATACCTTCGACTTAAATACACAGTCTTAGCTGCTGGTATCTAAAGTATTCCCTGTAACTGTTATCTAAGTAGCTACGTCTGTCGACCTACCTTACTTTCGCGTCACGTCTACGTAATCATCAATCTCAAAGCCCTATCAGTCTGTCTTAGAATCAGTTTAGCCGCATACCTATAGCGTGAGTCAGTGCTGTGGCATCTCCATTTGAACGTCGGAGCTGCGTCAGCTGCGTAATCAGGCTTGATATAGTCTCAAGCTCGGACCAAAATTAGCTCAATTAGGCTCATTCTGAGTTGAATCTAGGCAAAACCTAGTCTCGACCCTGGATTACTAAACCGAGTTCTTGAAGTCGAAGGTTCGCAGCGGATTTGCGTCTCTTGGTGGTTGTTTCTCTCCCATTGAAGCGCCGCAATGCCGCCGAAAACGGCGCAGGAGCTTCAGGCGGAGAAACTGAAGCAGAAGGGTAACGAGTACTTCAACAAAGGGTTTCTCGGAGCAGCTATAGACGCGTACACGGAGGTGCGTGTCTCGTCGAGCTCAGCTTTTAGAGAACGGCACAAACAGGACGCCACATCATTAGAGGAGAATCGTTGCGTCAGGTGGCTTGTGAATTGACTGAGAAGTAATTCTGGCATGGAAGAAAGGCGTAAACTCGTTTATAGCTGGAAGGTTTGGTAGCTGATAACTGTCAACAAGTCGCCAGGTTGGATGGCGGAGATGCGGGAGAGGGAGGGAATGGTGGGGGGATGTGTAGAGGGAATGGCAGGGATGGTGGTTTCGTTTATTGTTCCCTGTCATCCTCTTATAATCCAAATTCATCCTGCCATGTCGCTGATAGTTCGTTATTCGCTGTCCTGTTTCTTCCCATGGCCATTCACATGGCAAGCCATTGCCTTTCTCAATCAGGCATGCCAGTATACTGGATTAGCTGAACTCTCTACCACCTGATTCCTATACCCTTCCTTTCCCATTACCTTCCAATTCCCCACACGTGCCAGTCTACCGGACCCAACGAGCCGGTGCCACCCAATTCTCGTCCCCCTTTCCATTCCCATCCAATTCCAACCTTTGTCGCTGTGTCTCCTCCTCCTCCGCCCTTTGCCATTCTCTCCGTCTCCAATGTTTCCTTCCCAAGCCAGGCCATCACCTTTGCCCCAGGGGTGCCAGTTTATTGGACCAACCGAGCTCTATGCCACAGGAGAAAATGGTGAGTGACACATGGCGAGACGGTTGTTTAGAATTTAGAGCTCCGTGTTGCAGGAGAAACTGGTTAGACCCAGAGGCTGCTGAACTTTGCCATGAGGGTAACCCAAGTTGGATTCTTGTGTTGTCATTTTTCTGCTGGTCAATGTTGTTCGCGCAGCATGTTGTTTTATCATGGCCCATCCGTTCCCTCTCTTTCGTCTGTGTGCAGCGATTGGCCGAGAGTAGAGCATGACTGCACGAAGGCGTTGGAACTGGACAGAAATTCCGTCAAGGTACTTGAATGAAATTGCATTCTGAAATCATATTGAAGTGTGTCACGGATCACAATCAATGGATGCATGCGTTTGAAGAGTAGAACATAGTGACGACAACTCAACAGGTTCTTGTCTCCAATCTCGTTTCCTCCTCACTATTAACACTATCAAAGAGTTTCGTATATATCTCTGTTTATAAGATAAACATACACACGAAAGCAAATCAAAATAAAAACGCCTGTGCCCTTTTCCTCTGCAGGCGCGCTTTCTTCTTGGCCTTGCTCTGGTGGAGCTGAGCCGATTCCCAGAGGCGATCAGAGAGCTGGAGAAGGTGCGTGGGGGGGAAGGACATGGGGGGAGGGACAGGGACGGAGAGGGACAGGGGGGAGAGGGACAGGGGGGAGAGGGACAGGGGGGAGAGGGACAGGGGGGAGAGGGATAAGGACAGAGGGGAAGGGGGCCGGACATGTGCGTGGGGGTATACATGGACAGGGGGTATGGTTGGGCGCATCTGCCTCCCTTTCTCTGTTGAAGCTGATCCGATTCCGAGAGGCGATCAGAGAGCTTGAGAAGGTGGGCGGGGCGCGGAAAGGACAGGGGGGAGAGGGTGAGGGGAAGGGTGTGCACACACCCAGAGGTGAGCAAGAGGACATGACTGGGCTGGGAAGGGGGGAGGATGGGTGGGTGGGTGGGGTGCGGGCATCTGCTCCTCTTGCTCTGGTGAAGCTGAGCCGATTCCCAGAGGCGATTAGAGAGCTTGAGAAGGTGCGTGGGGGGAGGGACATGGGGAAGAGGGGGAAAGGGAGAGGGAGAGGGACAGTGTGTGCGTGGGGGTGTGACTGGGAAGGGGGGAAGGTGGGTGGGGTCCGGGTATTGGATGGATAAGAAATGGAGGAATTGTAAGACCAGTGCATACATGGATTCCTTGCACTGGCTATCATGCGTGTGCAACCCCTTTTGATCCCTTTCAACCACTCCGTTCCCAGGCGCTAGAAACAGTGTGGAACGGCATGGCACCTGGTTCAGGAAAACCGTTTGTCCCCCATTCCCCTCCAAGGCACTAGAAGCACCAAGGAACAACACGCGGCTGGTGCGCAGTAACATCAAGCTCCTTATTTTTTTTTCCGCTCTCTCTTCCTGCATTCCCCTGCCAGGCACTGGAAGCAAGCCTGGGCAACATTTGGCGAGTGACACCAAATGATACCTGGCTGGTACGCAGTGACAACCTGGGCGACTGTTGGCGACTTCTTGCTTCTGCCAAGTACCCACGGTGTGCTGAGCTGAAGTAGCGAGTACCATTAAATATCCGCATCCTTCTTCCCTTCCATTCTTCTTAATTCCCCTCCCAGGCGTTGGAAGCTCTGAGGAACGACACGCGGCTGGTACGCAGTGACAACCCGGATGACATCTGGCGCGAGCTGGCTGCTGCCAACCAAGTACCGGTATGGTGTTGAAGTAACGAGTAACATCAAGATCCTTATCCTTCCCCCTTCTCCTGTCCATAGCAGGCGTTGGAAGCACTGAGGAATGACACGCGGTTGGTGCGCAGTGACAACCTGGACGACATCTGGCGAGTTCTTGCTTCTGCCAAATACCGGCGGTGGGAGGAAGAGGCCAAGGCGAGGAGGGAGAAGCAGCAGGCGCTGGGGTGAGTGAGCGCTGAACTGTGAAAGCGATGCTTGTACAAGCATGTGCTTGTGTGTGTGTGAAGTTTGCAACTCAGCGCGTGCAGGCTGCTGCCAAGTACTGGCGGTGGGAGGAAGAGGCCAAGGCCAGGAGGGAGAAGCAGCAGGTGCTGGGGTGAGTTTGGAGTGTGGCTTCGGGATGATAGAGGTGCTTGCAAAACCCGCTTTTTCCTCTTTTATATCTATATCTACACACACACACACACACACACACACACACACACACACACACACACACACACACACACACACACACACACACACACACACACACACACACACACACACACACACACACACACACACACACACACACACACACACACACACACACACACACACACACACACACACACACACACACACACACACACACACACACACACACACACACACACACACACACACACACACACACACACACACACACACACACACACACACACACACACACACACACACACACACACACACACACACACACACACACACACACACACACACACACACACACACACACACACACACACACACACACACACACACACACACACACACACACACACACACACACACACACACACACACACACACACACACACACACACACACACACACACACACACACACACACACACACACACACACACACACACACACACACACACACACACACACACACACACACACACACACACACACACACACACACACACACACACACACACACACACACACACACACACACACACACACACACACACACACACACACACACACACACACACACACACACACACACACACACACACACACACACACACACACACACACACACACACACACACACACACACACACACACACACACACACACACACACACACACACACACACACACACACACACACACACACACACACACACACACACACACACACACACACACACACACACACACACACACACACACACACACACACACACACACACACACACACACACACACACACACACACACACACACACACACACACACACACACACACACACACACACATATTGCTGTTGCTGGTTCCTTTGCTGATTTTTTTTGTGGGTTGACGGTTGTTTGGGTGCAGAGATGAGCTAAAGCTGCTACTAAAGAATCGCCTGTGTCAGCAAGTATCGCAGCTTCTTGGTACGTGCGGTGTTTGCATTGAGTCTGACAGCCACGAATGTCAGCTTGTTGTTGTGTTGCCAGCAAGTATCGCAGCCTCGGAAGTCAGCTTTTTGGTAAGTGCGGTGCTAACTTCTGAGACACCTCACAAGTCAGCTTTCTAGTTAGTGTGTTGTTATGCCGCCCGTGCGATAGATGTTTCGTTTTATTCATGTTAACAAACTTTTGAATCGAATACACCGTGGATGTTACTTTGTGCTTGTAGTGGGAAATGTGTGGTGACTCAAACGAACTTAAGAGCGCCTGTGTTTGTCCTCGAAAAGGCCACATGAATCTTAAAATCTGTTGCTCAGAACGCCAAGTTTGAGTCGAGGCGAGGGACATTGTCAATGAGGTGACTTTTGAGTGTGGAGGCGAGGGACATTGCCAATGAAAAAGCATGTGACTTGCTGCCTGACTCCGCCCTTTGCAGGCAAAGAGGGCGCGCTGAATGGGTCAGCTCATGTGGACTTCTCCAGTTTGGGAAACACGGATGGTGAGAGGAGAGTGGGGAGTTAGGGGATTACGATGGACACACAGACACATGCAATGCAGCTCATGTGATGACCCATGCCTTGTCCAGGCGTATTTTGAGATTTGTTCAAAATACACATTTGAGGCGCCTCAAAAGATGGCCCATGCCTTGTCCAGGTGTATTTTGAGAGTTGTTCGAATCAAAATACACCAGGAGCGGCGTAACTCAGCACTCGTTACCTTCCCCACTCGCACCTCCTGCTCTCATCCTCCCATTTGCACGTCTCCCTCCCGTGCCTCTCAATGCCTCGCGCCTTTCACAAGTCTGGACCCTCTCGAATCGGAACAGGAGAGGAGGACGCCCGTGCAGCAGTACCAGGTGCGACCAAACATGCCTTTTCTACCCCCTGCTCCCACCTCTCCCTCTCATCGTCCCACGCTCACATCTCCCTATCGTGTCTCTCACCCTCTGCAGGCTCAAACCCTCTCAAGTCGGAGCAACTGAGGACGCTATTGCAGCAGTACCAGGAGCGCCTCAACACGCTCTTCTACCCCTTCTTCCCACCTCTCCCTCTCATCTTCCCACTCTCACATCTCCCTCTCATCTTCCCACTCTCACATCTCCCTCTCATCTTCCCACTCTCACATCTCCCTCTCATCTTCCCACTCTCACATCTCCCTCTCATCTTCCCACTCTCACATCTCCCTCTTATCTTCCCACTCTCACATCTCCCTCTCATCTTCCCACTCTCACATCTCCCTCTCAACTTCCCACTCTCACATCTCCCTCTCATCTTCCCACTCTCGCATCTCCCTCTCATCTTCCCACTCTCACATCTCCCTCTCATCTTCCCACTCTCACATCTCCCTCTCATCTTCCCACTCTCACATCTCCCTCTCATGCCTCTCACGCATCTCGTTTTTGAGGCGCCTCAAAATTCAACTCGTGCCTCTCACGCATCTCGTTCTCTGCAGGAATGGACCCAATCAAAACGGAGCAGGTGAGGACGCTAGTGCAGCAATATCAGGAGCGCCCTAACACGATTCTATGCCTTACGCCTGTATCCTCTCCTCTCGTCCTTCCAACCCCACTCTTCCCGCAGGTCTGGACCCTCACAAGTCGGAGCAAGTGAGGACGCTAGTGCAGCAGTACCAGGAGCGACTCAACACGCTGGAAAACGTGTTTGATAAGGCAGGAGCACCAGACAGACCTACCGAGGTGAGTGTTTGGGAGTCTGGAAGAAAATGTGTGTGTCGAGTTGTTGAGGAGGCTCAGAAGGTGGGGTGGTGCGAAGGAATGTCTGCAGCAGTACCAGGAGCGCCTCAACATGCTCAAGGTGACTTTTGGGTCGGCTGAAAGGTCACCTTTTTTTAGTCGACTCAGAAGGTGGGTGATGCGAAGGAATGTCTGCTCTGCAGCAGTACCAGGAGTGAAAGCTGAGGCCTCAACATGCTCAAGTTGTGAGGCGCCTCAGAAGTCGTCTCCTGTCTCCATCCAGGAGCGCCCCAACATGCTCGAGGACGTGTTTGACAAGGCAGGAGCACGGTTTTTTTTTCAGATTTCTTAAACAAAAAAAAAAAAAAAAAAAAAAACCTGCAGCGACAGACCAAGTCACCGAGTGACAAGGGAGGGCAGCATGCTCTGCTGCGGCGTCAAGGGTGCGGGATAGAAGTAACATTTTGAGATGCCTCAAGATGTTACTCCTAAGATCTATCATGTGGCAGGGCAGCATGCTCTGCTGCAGCGTCAAGGGTGCGGCCCAACCCAACACTCTGAAGATGCCTTCTGGGGCGATGTTCTTTTGTGTTCTGCGCATCGTGTGCGCTTTTATATGCAAGTCTAGTTTTGAGGCGCCTCAAAACTAGACTTCTGGGGCGATGTTCTTTTGTGTTCTGCGCATCGTGTGCGCTTTTGTATCCAAGTCAACACATGGGTCACAGGTGCCTGGCCTCCACTGCAGCAAAGATCACAATGGACATTTTCAAGAACCCCCTTGTGCCCCACACGTGCCTGACACCCCCTTGTGCCCCACACGTGCCCGACACCCCCTTGTGCCCCACACGTGCCTGACACCCCCTTGTGCCCCACACGTGCCTGACACCCCCTTGTGCCCCACACGTGCCCGACACCCCCTTGTGCCCCACACGTGCCTGACACCCCCTTGTGCCCCACACGTGCCTGACACCCCCTTGTGCCCCACACGTGCCTGACACCCCCTTGTGCCCCACACGTGCCTGACACCCCCTTGTGCCCCACACGTGCCTGACACCCCCTTGTGCCCACATGTGCCTGACTTCCTGTGCAGGAAAGATCACAATGGACATTGTCAAGGACCCTGTCTATCAACCCCCTTTGATCACCAGCTGGTGGCGGCCCCTGTTGTTTCCATGTGCCTTCCACACCATGCCATGCGCTCACCGTGCTGCCTCTCTCTCACACCCCCTTGTGCCCCACAGGTGCCTGACTTCCTCTGCTGCAAGATCACCATGAAGATTTTCAAGGATCCTGTCATCATCACTCACCTACGGGCTCTCTTTCCCTCTCTCTCTCTCCACCCCTCTCTCCCTTCAACTGTGCCCCTCAGGTGCCTGACTTCCTCTGCTGCAAGATCACCATGGACATTTTCAAGGATCCTGTCATCACCCCCAGTGGCGTGACATACGAACGAGCAGTGCTGGTGGATCACCTGAAGTCGGTAAGTACATAGGCTGCTCTGTTCATTCTCTCGGCCTCGTCTTCCACATCGCTCACACTGCTGATAAGGCGCCTCATACGAACGAGCAGTGCTGGTGGATCACCTGAAGTCGGTAAGTAGATAGGCTGCTCTGTTCCTTCTCTCGGCCTCGTCTTCCACATCGCTCACACTGCTGATAAGGCGCCTCATACGAACGAGCAGTGTGGTGGATCACCCGAAGTCGGTAATTACATAGGCTGCTCTGTTCCTTCTCTCGGCCTCGTCTTCCACATCGCTCACACTGCTGATAAGGCGCCTCATACGAACGAGCAGTGCTGGTGGATCACCTGAAGTCGGTAAGTACATAGGCTGCTTTGTTGCATCTCCCTTCCGTTGCATCTCTGTTGAAAAAAAAAAAAGTTTCTGAGGGCACTTCTACCACATCCTAACAGCCCGTTGGCTGCGCTTCTTTCTTTCTTTCTTTCTTCTTCTGTGCTTCGTAGATAGCTACGCTTTGCCTTCCTGTGGTGTGAAATCATATCTGTACCGTATGCCTTTACACACAGTATTTCTTGGTCTTTTTTCTTGGTGCAGGGAAAACACTTTGACCCGGTAACAAGGGCCTCCTTGACGCCAGAGCAGCTGGTGCCAAACCTGGCACTCAGAGAAACAGTACAACACTTTTTAGATGATCACGGGTGGGCCTATAATTTGCAATAATGAGCCATATCGGTAGACAACACATACATGGTTCACAAGTAACTTCAGTCAGCAGATGGCCCAGGGCTGGTTTGATGCAAAGTCATATCGCTTGTTGGTATTGCCGAAGCGCTGCACTTGAAGTATGTACCCGATTGTCTTTCCTAAAACATGTAAAAAGGTCCGTTCTATTGAAGTACCGTAGGTTCAGGCATAAACTGCAATAACTAATGGCGGTTGAGAAATGTTTTAAAAGGAAAGATTATGGTGGCATTTCGTTGGATGATCTCGAGTCTTTTTATACCGGTTCACCGTACACTTTCAAGGTCCCCCTATGTTTGGCGTTTTGTGCCACAAAGAGGCAGGAATCGAGCTGTTTTTGGTCCCCTCACATCACTGGCTGAAGTGATTTTCCCGCTGCGCTCACACACGCACGCCCCTCTGGTCACACAGTCACACCGTTCATTGCATTCCTGCTCACCCACAAACTCCAGTGGACCAATGAGAGAAAGGGAAAGCACGTTTCGTTTCCGGTGACCCATTGTTTCTGGTGAACCAAACGATTCCCACAATTTCTGTACAGTTCTTGAAGTCTTGATATTTTTGTTCCGGATCGAGGACAGGGAGAAATCTCAAGGTCTCCCGAACTGTTTGTTCCCTGCCGCTCAGATATAGCATCAATTCTGTGCTGGCTGCTGGTTAAAAACATGGTAAACCGACCTTTTGCCAGCAGATAGCCGTTTTCTCCAATAAAGTGATTCGGGGTTTTGGACAATACTCACATCGTACCCGTTTTATGATCCAGAAGTGGCCTAGTCAGTAGAAAGAGGCGCTTCCGATAGATGAGGTCCTGGGATCGACCCACCCCCGTGCAGGCGTGTTCTGCCAGCCCCAAGAAGGGGTTAACACGTGCTCATCTAGGAATGGATACCCCTTAAACTGGTTACGACCAGAAATATAACTTTAACTTAAACGTACCCCGTTTATGCGATAGTTTACTGGAAGAGAGTGAGTCAATTTAACAGAGTAAACCTCCCCGTCAGAGCTGCATCTTTTCGGGAGATGCATCAACCTTACCAGCAAGCAACTAAGGTGCTGCTTCGTGTCCCTTTTAGTTCACTCGAGAACAGACATTTCTGGAACCACATGTTCGTGTTATCCAGCCGTTTCTCTTGTTATCTGGTCATGATAGTAGCCCACCCAATGGGTGTCCGTATTGTAGGGAACGGGTACATCCGGTAGCCGCAATTATGTGAAGGACGACCTGTTACTACTTGTTAACAGCTTCTTGCTGGCCTAGGTCTCTGACGCACCTGACGTAACAACATCGGACTTACATGTAGGGCTTGTCAAGCTAACTCGGTTCTTCCCCGTGATTAACCAGGGGGCGATAATACTTCACACTGACTCCATTCTCGCGAGAACTGACTGAAATTCTGTAGTCCAATGATATTCAGACACGCCACCACAGACCAGCCGTAGTGATTAGTGGGACAAATTATCATTTTGGGACACGATATAGAGCGCGGTCTCGCTGTATCAGTGCCGTCAAAGCAGGGTTGAATTTGTCTAATAGATTATCCAAAACGGCCCATATTTATTCACAGCCTATAGCCCTGCTGCTAGTCTACCTCGAACAATGGCGGACTTTGGCGATTTCTCAGACGGTAGCGACGACGACATTGAACCCACATGGCTGCCCGACCAACGAAATGTTTCCGAAAACCTGCCCGAACCAATCGGAACCGTCGCACGATCCGGTCAGCTCGGCGCGCCTCTAGGAATTGCACACCTGGCACTCGGCGCAGTTACAGCCGCCATGTCAGCGTATAACCGCGGAAATGAGAAGGCGGACGGGGACGGCTTGCCACGTGTACGCATGCTGAGCTGTCTGCACGCGCTTTTCACGCAGCTGCACGACTCGGGAAGCGAGGAGGCAGCAGCGGACGGAGGTAGGTTCTGGCGAGGAGACATCAGACGGGGGTATGTTTAGTAGGATTGCAGCGCGACAGGCTGGCAGGACGCGTAGATTGGTTTGAGTCGACCAAGAATTCGGGAGGCGAGGAGACAGCGGCGGACGGAGGTAGGTTCTGGCGAGGAGACATTGGAGGTGATTTGGTTTAAAAGGATTACAGCGTGACAGGCTGGCAGGACGCACACAGTTTGAGTCGAGTCGCAATTCGGGAAGCGAGGAGACCGCGGCGGACGGGGGTGGGTAGGTAGCGAGGAGGCATCGGACGGAAGTATGTTTAGTAGGGTAACAGCGTGACTGGCTGGCCGCTGGCTACTGTGACAGGACGCACCAATCACCATGGTGCGTCTACACGCGTTTAGCACTCCATGCCGCGATATCGGCAGGAAGGAAGCGCAGCCAGGAAACAGCGGACTGAGGCGGGTATGCTAGCATTGTGACACGGTTGGTTAGGTTAGGTTTCGCGGAAGGAGGAAACGCGAACGTCAAGTTTAGGGTTATGGTTCAGTTTAGGACTAGACTTCGTGGTAGGATTGCAGTTAGAGACTGGGTTAGGTTTTTGGTGGTAGTGGAAGGTTAGTGGACGGGTGTCGTGGTGAATTATCGTGGCCTTAAATGTTGGCCTTGTCGTTTTGAGTTATCTTTTGATCTTTTCTGGTTTGACTCTTTTTCGCTCCTCCCTACTCCCTCCTCCACTCTCGCACTCCCCGCACTCTCCTTATGCCCATTCCGCTCCACCCTATGCGCAATCCAGCTCCCGTTCCTACTCCCTCTCTCACTCCCACTCCCCCTCCCACTCCCATTCCCCCATTCTCACTCCGAATCTTACTTCCAACCCCACTCCCACTTATATTGCTGCTCTTACTCCCATTTCCCCATCCACTCCCGCACCCACTCCCACCTTCATTCCCATTCCCATTCCCACTCCCATTCCCATCCCCACTCCCATTCCCATCCCCAATCCCATTCCCATCCCCAATCCCATTCCCATCCCCATGTGCTTCTCACACCCCATTCCCACTCACTCCCACACTCCCTCTCCCAACCAATTTGTCAGCCGCCCACTCCCAAAATCTAGGCCACTACTTCTCCCCTCTTCCCCTTCTCCCCTCTTCCCCTTCTCCCCTCTTCCCCTTCTCCCCCCAACCCTTGCTCGCATTTTGCACCTGCGGAACCTTATCACACCCTTCCGTGCCTCCCCTCTCCCCCCTCCCCTCTCCCCTCTACCCTCTACCCTCTCCCCTCTACCCTCTCCCCTCTACCCTCTCCCCTCTCCCCTTTCTCATCTCCCCCCTTTTCCTCGTTCCTCCTCTTTACCCTCTCCCCTGTCGGAGAACAACCTTCCTCCAGCACCTGCTCTTCTTCCTGTTGCCATTCCTGCTTTCTTTCCTTACATGTGCTGTGTCCCCTCAGCCTCTCCCATGAAGGAGTTCCCTCCCTCACCCCGTAGGTTCCCTCCCTCACCCCGTAGGTTCCCTCCCTCACCCCGTAGGTTCCCTCCCTCACCCCGTAGGTTCCCTCCCTCACCCCGTAGGTTCCCTCCCTCACCCCGTAGGTTCCCTCCCTCACCCCGTAGGTTCCCTCCCTCACCCCGTAGGTTCCCTCCCTCACCCCGTAGGTTCCCTCCCTCACCCCGTAGGTTCCCTCCCTCACCCCGTAGGTTCCCTCCCTCACCCCGTAGGTTCCCTCCCTCACCCCGTAGGTTCCCTCCTAGTGGCGTGCTGCTGGATGTAGAATCTAGAGCAACTGATTTCACTATCACGAGAGAATAACAAGCGAAAAGCATGGATTGTGTGTTCGTGACTGAACTTACCTTGCCCAGGCTCAAGTCGCACATTTCCCAATGTGCGGCTCGAGTTTGGGCTGGTCCTCCCTGATTGGTTCAATGCATTTCGCCCCTCGGTGCTTTCGCTCCCATTCCCAACGTCAAATTCGTCCTCCCCCTTACTACACCTCGAATCCCATTACAACATCTGCTACACCTCAATCTACACCTGCGCATCACTGTCATCGCATATGCACGAAGTGCATATTTGGTGACACCCCTCTAACGTCCCCAACCCTCCCATCCCACGCCCTGCCAGTAGCACATCTGCGGTACCGGTCCGGTCGTGCCTGCGCCTGCTGACCTGCGGCAAGCTGCCGTCCAACCAACGTCTTTCCTTCCCCTTTCCCTCCTCTTCCACTCCCCCTCACCCGTTCCTCGCTCCCCCACTTCCCCCCCCTACACCCTCCCCTCCCCCTCGCTGCTCGACCCTCCCCCACTCTCGCTTCCACACCTATCTTTAAATCCCTAAACTGAACCCCACCCCCACTCTCAGGCGCTGTGAGCCGTCCGATCCTCAACCCGGCCGATCTGGACGGTCTAGAGAAGGCGGTGCGCATCCTGCACCTGCGGTACTGGTCAAGCCTGCGCCCGCTCACCCGCGGCAAGCTACCTATCGACCGATGTTCCATTCTCCTTCCATTCCCTTCCCCTCTCACTACCCCCCCTCTTCCCTCCCTCCCCTCCCCCCCTCCTATCCCCCCGTTTCCCTCTTGGCCCTCCTCCCCTACTACCCCTCCCGCAACCATGCCTGAACCCCACCCCCACGGTCAGGCGCTGTGAGCCGTCCGATCCTCGACCCGGCCGATCTGGACGGTCTAGAGAAGGCGGTGCGAATCCTGCACCTGCGGTACCGGTCGTGCCTGCGCCCACTGACTCGCGGCAAGCTGCCGTCTCGCACGGAACTGAAGGAGATGCGGCTGAGCGCCCAGGCCATGGGGGTTAGGGCCGCCATGATGATGATTGATAAGGTCCCCAAGGTGAGGGGAAGATGGGAGGTTGGGTTGGGATGGGTTGGGTTGGGTTGGGCTGGGTTGGGTTGCGTTGGGTTGGGATGGGAGTGGCAAGCTTCTGTCCTGCACGCAGCTGAAGGGTATGCGGCTGAGCGCCCAGGCCATGGGGGTTAGGGCTGCCATGATGATGATTGATAAGGTCCCCAAGGTGAGGGGAAGATGGGAGGTTGGGTTGGGATGGGTTGGGTTGGGTTGGGCTGGGTTGGGTTGGGTTGGGTTGGGTTGGGATGGGAGTGGCAAGCTTCTGTCCTGCACGCAGCTGAAGGGTATGCGGCTGAGCGCCCAGGCCATGGGGGTTAGGGCTGCCATGATGATGATTGATAAGGTCCCCAAGGTGAGGGGAAGGGATGGAGTACCCAAGTTGAGAGGAGGGGGGAGGGCGGAAGGTATCAGAGAGGGGAGAAGGGTGAGGAGACATGGGACGGGGGATGGGGGACGGGGGATTTGGGACGGGGGATGGGGGACGGGGGACAGGGCGACACTCAGAGGGTCCTCCTTTGCCTTCTGCTCCTTTGCCTCGCAGGGTGCCTCTCTTTGCCTTCCGAACGTTTGCCCTCCGAGCCGAACTCGACTGCTCAGCCTGTCTCTCCTCCCCTTCCCCTCCTCCCCCTCCCCCCCCTCCCCCTTCACAGGGCGACCCTCGCAGGGTGCCTCTCTTTGCCTTCCGAACGTTTGCCCTCCGAGCCGAACTCGACTCCCAAGCCCTGCGATCCACACCCGAACCTGCTGCCGCTGCCACTGCCGAACCTGCCGCTGCCACCGCCGAACCCGCTAACAAGTCCGCCCCTGCCACTGCCAACGGGTGCCACCCTCCATCCTCCTCCCCCTCCCCCTCCCCCTCCCGTTGGGATGTTGACTCGTACCGTATTGCCGCTGCGCCATTGGAGGATCTGCTGGAAGATCTGACGGACGAGGTGCAAGCAGTGTGGGAGGCGTCCCAACGAACGGTGTACGATGTGGCGGTCTCACTCGCCCCTGTCTTAGCCCAGTATGCCTTGCTGGGACGAGCCGTGCAGCTGGTTATTCAGGAGAATAATCAGGTGGTTACAGCGGAGGGTGGCAGTGGTGGTGCGGGTGGTTCTGGTGCTGGTGTTGCGGGTCGGTTGTGTGATTTTTGCATGGGAAGTGAGGGTAGGAGGGGAGGAGGTAGTGAGTGCAGCGGTGGGGGCAGCAGCAGCACGGGAATTAGCAGTGTGAGTAGCTTGAGCAGCAATGGCAGCAGCGGCAGCAGTGGCAGTGCCGGTAGTGCCGGTAGAAGCAGCACAGAGGGAGGTAGAACAGAGGGCGGTGGTACTATTGACGCTACAGCAGCAGGTATTGATCCCAACACCTCAGCAGACGCTGCAGCAGCGACCGGCAGCAAAGGCACCGCCATCACCACCAACAGCACCACCAACACACACACCACCACCACCAGCACTGCCCCTGCAACAAGCGCCAGGGTATCTGGGCGGCTGACAGTGAGAAAGCACACGCGGGTAGTCCCAGCAGTGGGAGACGAGCTAATCCTGTGGGACGACGGGCTAGACGACGTGCGAGACCTCTTCCTCCCCGACCGCCGCGAGGCCAACCTCAACTCCTCCCCATCGCCCTCCTCCTCCCCTTCCTCCTCCTCCGCTTCCTCTGCCGCTGCCTGCTCCTTCTCCTCCTCGTTCCCGCTCGGCGCGACCGTTCGAATCGACTCGATGAGCGATTTCTCCTGGTTTGTCGCGTGGAACGGCACCTCCCCTGTGGACAGCATCCCCAGCGAGGTGTCGGTGAAGCGCCTGCTGCACTCCATAGGCGCACCTTCCTCGCAGCACGCGATGCTGAGATCCTCGGATAAGTCGCTGCTCATGGCGGTGACTCTCCCAGAGGTGCGGTTTGAGGCGGAGAGAAGGGTGGGCGAGCAGCTGGCGTGGGCTGTGGAGGGGGGGGCTAGGCTGGAGATGAAACAAGGGAGGGGGCAGTTTGTGGGGAGTGGGGGGAGTGTGGGGGGAAGCGGAGGGGCAGGGGGGTTGGCTGGGGGAGGCGGAGGGGGGGGGAGGGGGAGACGGGGGGGGGAGGGGGAGTGGTGTTGGAGCTTCCGGGGAGGATGCCGATAATAGGAGGGATAGGAAAGGGGCCAGGAGCAGGAGGAGCAGCAGGAGGAGGAGGGGGGGGAGGAGCAGGAGCTGCAGGAGCAGGAGCAGGAGCAGGAGCAGGAGGAGCAGCAGGAGCAGCAGCAGCAGCAGCAGGGAGGGCGGGTATGGGAGGGGCAGGAGGCAGGGGCGCGAAGCACCAAGCCCTCCTGCGCCGATCCTTCGCCAAGCGTCTCGAATCCGTGCCTGACGGCACAGACTTGGAAGAGCTGGAACCAGCCAAGGCGATTCCGTACGAGGAGGTGGAGCGGGCCACGCAGGGGTGGGCGGAGGAGGCCAAGCTGGGCGAGGGCGGGTCGGCTGTGGTTTACCGGGGGTGTGGGGCGGACGGGCAGCTGTGGGCCGTGAAAAGAGGGAAGAAGGGCGGGATTTCTCGCCGGAAGGACTATGAGAAAGAGGTGAGACAGATGTGGTTTCAGCCGACTCGGAACGATACGTTCTCCCCCCCCTCCGCTGCCCCTCCATTCCCTGTTCCACTTCCCTCACTCTCTGTGCTATCTCCCCCCCGTCCTCTCCTCCCCTCCTCCCCCCATCTCTCCCCCATTCCCCCAAATATCCACGCAGTGTCGCAGCTGAGGCATGCCAATCTGGTGCGGCTGCTGGGGTTCTGCGAGGAGAGGGAGGGAGGAGCTGCTCTGCTGCCACCCGCACGCCTCCACTCCACCTCCCCTCCTCCCCTGTGTCCCCTTGCTTTTGCGCTCTGCCCTTTCAACCTCCCACTCTTCCCCCCACAAAAGATCCATGCAGTCTCCCAGTTGCGCCACGCCTCCCCGGTGCGGCTGCTGCTGGGGTTCTGGGAGGAGTCTAGTTTTGCGGCCATGCAAAGACTGGAGGGAGGAGCCTCTTCAAGACTCCTAACCATGCAAAGTCCCGATTGGTATCCCCAAAACTGGGGTTTGTACGAGTTTGTACCCAACGGCAACCTGCGCCAGCACATCAACCCCATCAGGGGCGAGGCGGCTATAGAGGGAGCGAGGCAGGGCAGCCAGCCACCTTCACCCCCACGCCTCCACCCCTCATGACCTCCCACTGTCCTCCCACTGTCCTCCCCCTCCCCTCCCCGTCACCCCCTCCCCGTCACCCCCTCCCCGTCACCCCCTCCCCGTCACCCCCTCCCCGTCACCCTCTCCCCGTCACCCTCTCCCCGTCACCCTCTCCCCGTCACCCTCTCCCCGTCACCCTCTCCCCGTCACCCCCTCCCCGTCACCCTCTCCCCGTCACCCTCTCCCCGTCACCCTCTCCCCGTCACCCTCTCCCCGTCACCCTCTCCCCGTCACCCTCTCCCCGTCACCCTCTCCCCGTCACCCTCTCCCCGTCACCCTCTCCCCGTCACCCTCTCCCCGTCACCCTCTCCCCGTCACCCTCTCCCCGTCACCCCCTCCCCTCCCCTCCTCTTTCCCACCTCAGATCCACGCGGTCTCCCAGCTACGCCACCCCAACCTGGTGCGGCTGCTGGGGTACTGCGAGGAAAGAGAGGAGCTTCTGCTCGTATACGAGTTTGTGCCCAACGGCAACCTGCGCCAGCACATCAACCCCATCAGGGGGGAGGCGGCCATAGAAGGGAAGCCGGGAGGCATGTTGTCGTTTGACAAGCGCCTGGAGGTGGCCCTGGGAGTGGCGGAGGCGCTGCAGTACATGCATGGATGCCACCCGGCGATCATTCACCGCGACGTGAAGACGCTCAACGTGTTCCTTGACAACGACTTACATGTGCGTCGCTGTTAATGGGAGGGGAAGGTTGGCATGCTGTGGTTTGACAAGCGCCTGGAGGTGGCACTGGGGGTCGCGGAAGCACTGCAGTACATGCATGGGTGCCACCCGGCGATTATACATCGTGACGTGAAGACCCTCAATGTGTTTCTTGATAATGACTTGCATGTGAGTTGCTGTGCGTGTGTTTATGAGTCGGGTTGTTATGAGCCTGGAGATGGCACTGGGGGTCGCTGAGGCGCTGCAGTACATGCATGGGTGCCACCCGGCAATCATTCACTGCGATGTGAAGACCCTCAATGTGTTTCTTGATAATGACTTGCATGTGAGTCGCTCACACCACAGATCACCCACTTTTCCCCATCTCCCCTTCCATGCTCCTCTTACTCCCCCCTTGACTTATCAGCCCCGCCCAGCCCAAGCTAGGCGACTTTGGCAACGTGAAGGAGATCAATGACGAGTCTACGTCTCCACGCACACCCGAGTGGTCGGCACTCCAGGCTATCTGGATAATTGTTGGGTCGTCAAAAGACACGCTTGTTTTCCTCTCCCCCTCCCTCCCTTCTCCCCTTCCCCAGCCGAAGCTGGGCAACTTTGACAACGTGAAGGAGATCAGCAACGAGTCCACGTTTCCCTCGTCTTCCCCGCTATATGGGAGTGACTTTTGAGAATTCTCAAAAGTTTCCCTTGTCTTCCCCGCTATATGGGAGTGACTTTTGAGAATTCTCAAAAGTTTCCCTTGTCTTCCCCGCTCACACCACTGCTTCCTTCACTCCCTTGCCCCCTGTACCTGCTTCCCTCGCCTCTCAACTCTCCCAGCCGAAGCTGGGCGACTTTGGCAACGTGAAAGAGATCAACGACGAGTCCACGTCTCCCACGCACACCCGAGTGGTCGGCACACCGGGCTACCTCGATCCACAATATTGCCAGACCAGCATTGTGTCTGATCGTTCTGACGTCTACAGGTATGCACGCAGGGAGTGAGGTGTTAGTTTGCAGTGAAAAGAAATTCACTTGACTGCCATGCCCTGTACCTTGTCCAAGTGTCCCCATACCTCTATCTGCGTGCATGCCACGTGGCAGCTTTGGAGTGGTGCTTCTGGAGCTCATAACAGGCAAGGCGCCTGTTCTCAAGGAGTCAGACGACGCCGGGGAGAGAATGGCGCTCGCCAAATGGGTGAGAGAAAGAGGGCGGGATGGCTGGGGTTGAGTAAGGAGAACGGGTCAAGTGGGTAAGGAGACTGGCAAGGCGCCCGTTCTCAAGGAGTCAGACGGCGCCGGGCGGGGAGAGAACGGCGCTCGCGAAATGGGCGATTGAGGGGAGGAGAGGGGCGTGATGGAGGCTAAACAGTATATTGGTTGAGGGCAAGTGGGTAAGGTAAGGTCACAGGCAAGGCGCCTGTTCTCAAGGAGTCGGACGACGCCGGCCAGGCGGGGAGAGAATGGCGTTCGCGAAATGGGTGAGCTTGAAGGGTGTTGCAGAGGTGGCGGTGAGGTGAGGTGAGGTGAGGTGAGGTGAGGTGAGGTGAGGTGAAAGGGTCACATGGGTAAGAGGATAAGCAAGGCGCCTGTTCTCAAGGAGTCGGACGACGCCGGGGTGAGAATGGCCCCTCGTGAAATGGGTGAGCTGGAAAGGGGGTTAAAGAGGTTGGGGGTGATGTGAAGAGAAAGTATCAAGTTCAAGTGGATAAAGGGGACAGGTGCCTGTTCTCAAGGAGTCGGACGGACGGTGTGGGGGAGAGGATGGTACTCGTCGAATGGGGGTACCATTTGGAATGGTGCGGTGCAGGTGCCTTTTCTCCCCTCTTTGAATGGGCGAGAGAAGGGGGATTAGTGGGGTCGGGTCAGGACTCGGGGATGGGGGGGGAAGTTGTGTTGGGGAATTGGTAAACTGCTCTGTTGCATGCTCGCTTTCCTTTCCCCTCCTCCCCACCACCCCAGGCCCAGGCCACCCCCGCCAGCTGCAGCAGGCAGGCACACGGAAGCAATCCGCCGTCCAGTAGCGGATGCAGTGCTGCTGGAGTGGAGTCGGGCACCAGACCAGCTCTGTGTGTGCCTGCTGAGGTGACTTTTGAGTCGACTCAAAAGTCACCTGGAGTCGAGTCGGGCACCGGACCAGCTCTGTGTGTGCCTGCTGCTCGCCCCTCTCCTATCCATGAACAAACAGGCCACCCCCTCTGTCTTATGTTCTTCTCCCTCTCCCCTCCCCACCAAACAGGCCACCCCCGCCATCTGCAGCGGTCACACAGACTCAGTAGCAGACGAGTGCTGTTGGAGTCGAGTGCTGTCCCATTCTCCCTTCCGCTCCCCTTCTCCGCCCCCACAACACCCCCCCTCTCCTCCCCCCTCTTCCAGGCCTTCCCCGCCATCTGCAGCGGGCACACGGATTCAGTAGCAGACCCTGTGCTGCTGGAGTCGAGCACACCACACCACACCACACCACACCACACCACACCACACCACAGGCGCTGCCTTCTGAGCTTCTTCCCTGTTCCCCTCTCCTCCAACCACTCTGCAGGCCACCCCCGCCATCTGCAGCGGCCACACAGGCTCAGTAGCAGACCCCGTGCTGCTGGAGTCGAGGACCACCCCTTTGTCCCATTCTCCCTTCCGCTCCCCCTCTCCCCCCCCACAGCAAACCCCACCCCCCCCCCCCCCTAGGCCACCCCCGCCATCTGCAGTGGCCAGGCCACACAGAATCAGCGGCAGACCCAGAGCTGCTGGAGTCAAGTACCCCTCACCCTCAGTCTCTGCAGGCGGTGGGCAGTCTCGGTATTATGAGCTTGTTCCCTGTTTCCCTTTTTACCTGTTTCCCTCTCCCCTTCTCCCCACCGAACGGGCCACTCCCGCCATCTGCAGTGGCCACACGGGTTCAGTCGCAGACCCTGTGCTGCTGGAGTCGAGCACACCTCCCCTCACCCCTGCATCCCCCTGTCCCCATGCCCCACTCCACACACGCAGGCCACCCCCGCCATCTGCAGTGGCCACACGGACTCAGTGGCAGACCCCGTGCTGCTGGAGTCGAGCACCCCACAGGCGCTGCAGGCGGTGGGCAGCCTGGCCGCCATGTGTGTGCAGCGCCTGCCCAAGGACCGCCCAGCCATGGGGGAGGTGGTGCGGCGACTAAAATCCATCAGACAGCAGGGTGAGTCTCGGTTTGCGTGGGGTATGGGGAGGAGTGGGGTGTCAGATGGGCAGGCGGTGGGCAGTCTCGCCGCCATGTGTGTGCAGCGCCTGCCCAAGGACCGCCCAGCCATGGGGGAGGTGGTGCGGCGGCTGAAAACCATTCAGCAGCAAGGTGAGTCTTGATTGACTATGGGGTGTAGGGTGTGGTGGGTTTGGGGTTGTGGAGTGAGGGATATGGTTGGAACTGAAAGGGATCAATTATGCCGACTGGAAACGTTTTTCTCACTTCATTGCGTCATCTGGCCTGGACTTGTAAATGACCTTCGTCCTCCTCTCCTTTGACCTCTGTTCTCCCCACTCACTCCCTCACTCCCCCCCTCCCCAGCCCTAGCAGCAGCAGCCACAGCTTCGGGCAGCCTCCGAGGCTTCCCCACGTTCGGCCGAGCCGGGTCAGGTTCGAGCCGACCAACCTTCTCCCGAACCTCCTCCACCTCCTCTTCTACCTCCGCCTCCACCCCAACCTCCCGCTCCTCCTCCTTCCGGGAAGGTTCCTCGCACGCTCAGCCACAGCCTGTGCAGGCAACTGCGAGTAGGTCTGGTGAGATGAGAATAGGGGGGAGAGGGGGGAGTGGACGGGGAGGGGCACAGCAGCAGAAGCAGCAGCAGCAGCATGAGAAGGAGCAGCTTAAAGCCCCACTTTCACCCAGAACCCACACACGCAGTGGATCTATAACCTCTCCCGACGCTGCTGCTGCTGCTGCTGCTGCGGATGGTGGTGGTGGTGCTTCAACCCCCAGACCCTCCTCTGCTGCTGCTGCTTTCCCCATGCTCTCGCCGCGAATCCCGGGCGGGATAAACGTTTTCCAGAAAGATTTCTGGCGCCCGAAGTTCCCGCCGGTCCGCTCGAAATCGGACATGAATCTCGCGAACCTGCCGTCAGAATCAGGCTCGGAAGGAAGCCAACAGGAAGGTTCCCGGGGGAGGGAGGGAGGGGGTGCAGAAGCAGAGGTGCCCTTGTCTGCTGTACCAGCATCAATGAGTGGGTTGGTGAGGGGGAGGAAAGGAGTTGAGAGGGTGGAGAGTACGGAAGAAGGTGAGGAGGGGGAACTGGAAGGAGGGTTTGGGAGGAGGTGGATGGGAGGAGATGAGTCAGATAGGGAGAGTGAGGGTAGTGGTGGTGGTAGGTTCGGTAGCGGTGGTAGTGGTGGTGGTGGTGGTGGGGGGGGTAGTGGTGGTGGTTCTTCTGCTGCAAATGTCTCCTCTCAGTTGCTTTCCCCCAAGCCTGCTGCTCGTGCACTCAGAGGGTTCCTTCCGCACTCTAGGACCGTTTCCGGAGGGGAAGTTCCGACAACGCCCACAACGCCGACCACACCGGGAGGAAGACCCAGGAGCAGAGGGGAGGGGGGCAGCGGAGGAAAGAGGGGGCTGTTTAGACGGAGTGAGAGCGGGCAGAGCAGCAGGGAGCAGGAGAGGCGGGGTAAGGATCAGCTGAACCAGCTGAAGCAGGCTAAACAGCAGAAGCCGGAGAGGAGGAGTTTGCAGCAGGAGGCGCAGCACCACCAGCAGTCACGGCTTCGGTATCAGCAGTCGCAGCAGCTGCAGCAGCGGGAGCAGCAGCAGGAAAGGGAAAGGGAGAGAGAGGGGGAGGAGGACGACGAGTATGGGGCGCCGTTATCGCCTCAAAGCCGTGAGATGTACGGGCAAGAGGAGTGCGATATCGACTCTCGGAGACCCGAATCTCATCAATCAAACCCCCATCGTCCAGACCCCCACGACCAGGGTCACTGGGAGGATGACGAGTTGGAGGATGGGGAGGAGGAGCAGGGGGAGCATCGGCAAGGGTACGCCCGCGCACATGGGGAGAGCAGCCGTGATAGACCCGGGGATGGGCATGGGCGCGGGGGAGGGCATGGGAGGGAGCGTGGGGTTGGGCATGGGAGGGAGCGGGGGAGGGAGCGGGGGCATGCAAGGGAGCCGTCACAGGAAGAAGCTCAAGCTCCCACGAAGCAGCCAGGAAAAATCCCCAAGTCGAGATCGCTGGACCTCGCGTCGCTCATGCTCGGCCTCCCGATTCCGCACTCCAAGACAAAGGAGGAGGTGGGCGGAGAGGGAAGAGGAGGGGGGAAGTCCCCGCGGGGGGGAGGGGCCAAGTCGCCTCGAGGGGGGGGAGGGTCCAAGTCCCCCCGAGGAGGAGGGGCGAAGTCTCCAAGAGGAGGAGGCGGTGCGAAGTCGCCTCTCATGGCGCCGTCGTCGCCTCTGCCTGAAACTGCCAAGAAGTTTCTGTCTGCTACGCTGGGGAAGAAGAATAAGATGGTGAGCTGACTGAGCTGCGAATGAATGAATCACAACCGTCCATTAGTCAACTAGGTGGATGGGTGGGACGCGGACGCCGCTGTCAACAGGGAGGGAAGACCATTGGATCCTCCTCTCCTCCTCTCCCGTTCCAATCTTCACTTCACATAACCATTGTATCCAATCCAACAGAAGGAGATTCAAGCGCTGGTAGCATTGCAGCACGCCAACCTAGCTGAGATCCTGGGCTATGCCCTGGAGAAGGACGATGTGCAGATCGCATACGACGTCCTTCCCAACTCTCCTACCAACTCTCCTCCCTCCTCACGCCCCTTCCTCTACCCCATCTCCCTCCCCCCTCACTGTGTTCCCCTTGCTGTCACATGCGTGCGTGCCATGCAACAGAAGGAGATTCAAGCGCTGGTAGCGCTCCAGCATGCCAACCTGGCGGAGATTCTTGGCTATGCGCTGGAGAAGGACGACGTGCAGATCGCAAAGTAGCCTCCTTCCCCCCAACCTAGCTCTTTCCCCCCACCTCCTTCCTCCCTCCCCCCACATGGCCGTCTCCCCTGCACATCCCTACCATGCAACAGAAGGAGATTCAAGCGCTGGTAGCATTGCAGCACGCCAACCTGGCAGAAATTCTCGGCTATGCCCTGGAGAAGGATGATGTGCAGATCGCATACGACCTCCCCCCCAACTCCGCTTCCCTGGAGAACTACCTCTTTCCAGGTAAGCTTATGAGATTTGCATTTACGGATGGGGTTATGGTTAAGGCGCACTTGTGCAGATATCTTTTGAGTCGACTCAAAAGTTACAGATGGGGTTATGGTTAAGGCCCACTTGTGCAAATCTCACCCCTTTCCAAGTGAATTCGGAGAATCACTTGCTGAGGGTAGCTTACGATCTGGGGGTATGAGACTTGTGGGGGGTAAGCCTTGTTTAGAAATAAAAAAATCGGTCTGGAGAAATGCCTTGACCACTTTTCAAGAAAACTTTTTAGTCGACTCAAAAGTCAATTTAAAAATGGGTCTGGAGAAATGCCTTGACCACTTTTCAAGAAAACTTTTGGGTCAACTCAAAAGTCAGTTGAAGATTGGTCTGGAGAAATGCCTTGACCACTTTTCAAGAAAACTTTTGAGTCGACTCAAAAGTCAATTTGAAGATCGGTCTGGAGAAATGCCTTGACCGCTTTTCAAGAAAACTTTTGAGTCGACTCAAAAGTCAATTTGAAGATCGGTTTGGAGAAATGCCTTGACCACTTTTCAAGAAGACTTTTGGGTCAACTCAAAAGTCAATTTGAAGATCGGTCTGGAGAAATGCCTTGACCACTTTTCAAGAAAACTTTTTGAGTCGACTCAAAAGTCAATTTGAAGATTGGTCTGGAGAAATGCCTTGACCACTTTTCAAGAAGACTTCTGAGTTGACTCAAAAGTCAATTTGAAGATCGGTCTGGAGAAATGCCTTGACCACTTTTCAAGAAAACTTTTGAGTCGACTCAAAAGTCAATATGAAGATTGGTCTGGAGAAATGCCTTGACCATTTTTCAAGAAAACTTTTGAGTCGACTCAAAAGTCAATTTTGAAGATTGGTCTGGAGAAATGCCTTGACCACTTTTCAAGAAAACTTTTCAGTCGACTCAAAAGTCAATTTGAAAATGGGTCTGGAGAAATGCCTAGACCACTTTTCAAGAAAACTTTTGGGTCGACTCAAAAGTCAATTTGAAGATTGGTCTGGAGAAATGCCTAGACCACTTTTCAAGAAAACTTTTGGGTCGACTCAAAAGTCAATTTGAAGATTGGTCAGGAGAAATGCCTTGACCACTTTTCAAGAAAACTTTTGAGTCGACTCAAAAGTCAATTTGAAGATCGGTCTGGAGAAATGCCTTGACCACTTTTCAAGAAAACTTTTGAGTCGACTCAAAAGTCAATTTGAAGATCGGTCTGGAGAAATGCCTTGTGTTGTAACTGTATCTTATATTCAACATACATAGGCTAGAATGGTGTAGCTCTTTATGTTCTTGGGGGGTTGGGTGTACACTCCAACCACATTTTGTGGTTGGTCAAGGTTGGGTTTGGTCTTGGTCCTTGGTTGGCACTTGCCAACTTTTGGTCCTAAGGCCTACCAATCACAACCTAGCAACATTGTGGGGTTACCTACTCCACAAGGCATCTCCCCCATTGGCCAACTTAGTGGCCAATAGGGTTTGCTCATTCTTCACCCCTCTCTTGCTTGCATGCTTGTACTATAGAGCCTCCATGGCTCATTATTCAAACCACTCTTGAATTCTATCATGGTATTCAGAGCCAAATGGCTCACGCCACCTTCCCTCGATCCCCATGTTGTAATTCCCTCCCCGCTCCCTTACCCTAGCAGACTATGACCTACATCGGAACACCCGCTCCTCAGATCTAGCCTCCCGCGGCTCAGTTCCGCCTCCCGCACCTCAGATCTAGCGTTCCGCGGCGTAGATCTCCTCCTCCGCGGCCTCAATCCTCCCTCCCGCGGCCTCTATCCTCCCTCCCGAAGCCTCAATCCTCCCTCCTGCAGCCCCAAACCGCTCCCCCGTGGCAGCAATCCTTCCTCCCGCCGCCACGCCTCCATCTGCCCGCCGACGCGCCGACCTCGGCGCCGACGCGGACGACCAGCGCGGCGACGCGGACGACCTGCGACCACCGCGGACAGCCAGCGCGCGACCCCCGACGACCAGCGCGCTGCCACGGACGGCCGGCGCGGCCCCGCCGACGACCCGCGCGCTGACGCGGACGGCCAGCGCGGCCCCGCTGACGACCCGCGCGCTGACGCGGACGGCCAGCGCGACCCCGCCGACGACCCGTGCGCTGACGCGGACGGCCAGCGCGGCCCCGCCGACGACCCGCGCGCTGACGCGGACGGCCAGCGCGGCCCCGCTGACGACCCGCGCGCTGACGCGGACGGCCAGCGCGGCCCCGCCGACGACCCGCGCGCTGACGCGGACTGCCAGCGCGGCCCCGCCGACGAGCCGCGTGCTGACGCGGACAGCCAGCGCGCGGCCACGAACGAACCGCGCGCCACCGCGGACGGCCAGCGCGCGGCCGTCAACGCCCCTGCGCCGACGCGGACGGCTGGCGCGCAGCCGCGGCTGATCTGCCCGCCGTCGCGTTCGCCTGCCCGCGATCTCCACGACCTCGAAACCCTAATTCCTCCCCGCACTTCCGCACCAGCCTCTCTTCCCCTCTACCTCCTCCCCCTACTCCACCCCTAACGGCACCAGCGGCAGCAGCAGCGGCATCGGCGGCGGCAGCAGCAGCGGCATCGGCGGCGGCAGCAGCAGCGGCATCGGCGGCGGCAGCAGCACCGGCATCGGCGGCGGCAGCAGCACCGGCATCGGCGGCGGCAGCAGCAGCGGCATCGGCGGCGGCAGCTGCAGCGGCATCGGCGGCGGCAGCAGCAGCGGCATCGGCGGCACCAATACCAACAGCAACAGCGGCGCCTTCACCCCTCCGCCGTCATGGCGTCATCCGACTCCTCGGTCGATCTAGCGACCATTGACGCCCTCGAGCTGCTCGGCGACAACTCGGCCGCCAACTGGCACTCCTATGCTCACTCCGTCGAGGTGTTGCTCTCCTCGGTCATCGTTAGTGGTTATACACTCCGTTCCGTCGTGTTCCAGGAGGAAGGCGGACTCCAGCCCATCGCCCCTTCTGCCCCCACCGGACCTCCTCCTGATGAGCCCGGACCTGAGCCCGAGCCCCCTGATGATCCTCCCTCCTTCGCACCGGATGTCAACAATCCTCAAAGCGTAGAAACTGCCATCCGTGCCTATCGCAACACACTCAACGACCACCTTCGCCGTCAACTGCGCTATGAGGACGACAAGCGCGCCTACGACAAGGCTGCTGCCCGTCACCGCGACTACCACGCCCAACTCACCACGTACACTACATGCCTCACTAACTACACCTCCGACATCGCTGCGTGGCGCATGGCTGACCGTCGAGCTCTCGCCATCCTCCTCGCCACTATCCCCTCCTCCCTCAAGCGAGAACTCTCACCCACCTCCTCCTCCCACCTGTGGCAACTGCTTGTCGACCTCTTTGACCGGCAGGACATCGCCACCCTCTATGCCCTCATCAAGGAATTTGGATCCATCACCATGGATTCCACTGCCGGCGCAGCCGCCTTTACTCGCCGCGTCCTTGACCTTGCTCGCCGCCTTGCAGCACTTGGTGTTACTTACCCTGACACCGTCATCTGCTGCCACCTCCTCGAAGGCCTCACTCCTGCCTTCGATGCCCACAAGCTGGCCTACATGCAACTCCTCTCCAAACATGACACTCCCGCTCAAGTTGCCCAGTGTTTATCACCACCGAGGCAGACATCCTTCGCCACTCCTCCTCCACTGCCGCGGTAGCACAGCAGCGCAACGGCAAAGGCGGACGTGGAGGGGGGCGTGGAGGTGGGCGTGGAGGTGGTCGAGGCGGCTCTGGCGGTCGTGGTGGTGCGGGTCGTGGTGCAGCAGCGGCCTTCCCACCCTGTCAGTATCTTCCCCTTTATGGCCCCACCCGAGGCCAACGCTGCAACCAAACCACTCATGCAACTGAGACGTGCTTCAAGGCACTCAGCGATGAGTGGTTCGCTCGTGGGAACTCTGGCACCCCTCCTCGCTGGTCCTCCCTAAATCCCCGCCCCACTCCCCTCGACGTTCGCTCCTCTCCCCTCTACGCTCCTTCCTCCTCCTCCCAGGCCCACCAGGCCTTTGCTCTCCCCTCTCAGCAGCAGCAGCAGCAGCAGCAGCAGCAGCAGAGTGTCCAGCAGCAGGGACCGCAGCAGTACGGGCAGCAGCTTCAGCAGCTCCAGCAGCAGCTTCAGCAACTCCAGCAGCAGCTCGACCTCCAGCCCCAGCTTCCTCTCCTCCCTCCTCCTCTTGTCCCCCAGCAGCAACCGTTTCCCGGCTGGACCGCTGGGAATGCAGCCTCTGCGGCCCACCTCTCCGGTCCCTCCCCTGCGCTGTCCACAGGTGGTAGTGTGACCCCCTTTCCCTCCTCTGGCTTTGTTGGTCTGCTTAGTCAGCCTCCCTCTGTTGCATCCCCTATGTATGCCCCTGCTACTAATGAAACTTCCATTCAGTACTCCGCCTCACCCTCCTCCACCCTTGAGTTCGTCTTGGATAGTGGAGCCACTGACAATGTCTTTCGCGATGCTGGCAAACTCCATCCTCTCCCCACACCCACGTCCCTCCTCGGCGCTGACAGCAGCTTTTCCATCCCCTGTCACAACACGTCCACCCTTCCCTGTCCTCTCTTTCCCTCAGGTACCGTCACAGGTCTTCACATTCCCTCCCTTTGCACTAGCCTCCTCTCCCAAAGGTCCCTCCAACAATCCATGATCACCACTGTCACCCCAGGAGGTGCTAACCATTGTGACCTTTTCCAAACCTCCACAGGTCGCTTCCTCGCCCGCATTCCCTACTGTCACCACTCCCGTCTATACACCCTTCGGGTTCCTCGCCCCTTCACCTTCCAAGTTGCCTACCCCCCCTCCTCCCCCCCCCTCCTCCCCTCCCTCCCACTAACCCACTCGTCCCCCCCCGCCCCCCTGACTCTGACTGCTCATGTCGCTCCCTCTCCCACCCTGCTATCCTCCTCCATCACAGGCTAGGTCACCCCAACTTCGCCACTCTGCGCTCCTCTGTATCCTCCGGTCTCCTCCACGGTCTCCCCTCCTCCCTCCCTCCCCTCCCAAAGTCCCCTGCCCCCCCTTGCGTCGTCTGTGTTCAGAGCAAGCTCAAGCAGCAGCCGCACCGGAGCTCCCCCTCCGCTGCAGCCCAGCCACTTGATCTTGTTCACATGGACCTCTGGGGCCCTAACCCCTCCCCCACTCGCCAAGGCCATCGCTACCTCCTCGTGCTCGTCGATGATCACAGTCGGTACTCGTCCGTCTCTCTCCTTCGGACGAAGGCGGACGCCCCGATTGCGATCATTGCCTGGCTCGAACAGGCAAACACCCACTTTGGGCGCCCTGTTCGCCGCCTCCACTCTAATGGTGATGGTGAGTTCCTTAACAACCAGATCTCCTCCTATTGCCAGTCCCGCGGCATTCTTCAGACTTACACCCTCCCTCACTCCCCACAGCAGAATGGTGTCGCTGAGAGCCGTGTTCGGGAGATCACCAAAACGGCTCGGTGTCTGCTTGTCCACGCCTCCTGCCCCCCTTCTCTGTGGGGCTACGCCCTCTTTCATGCCGCCCTCCTTACTAACCTTTACCCTCACCCCCTCCTCCCCTCCACCACCCCCACTGAGCTATGGACAAAGGACAAACCCGATGTCTCCCCTCTTCGGGTCTGGGGCTCAAAGGCATATGTACTCATTCACCCATCTGACCGATCCCGTTCCCTAGGAAAACTTGCCCCTCGTACCCTTCCCTGCATCTTCCTTGGTCATAACCCCTCTTCCCCCGACTATCTTTTCCTCCACCCCCCCTCCGGCCGACTAATTCGTAGCAGGGATGTCGTCTTTGACGAATCCACCCCATACTATTCCTCTCCTCCGTCCACTGACCCACTCCCACCTCTGACTCGTCCCCTTGTCTGGTTTGACACCACCCCTCCCCCTCTCCTCCCTCCTCCCCCCATCCTCCCAACCCCTCCCCCACCGCCCCCCCCAGTCCCACGGTGCCCCTCCCTCGTCTGGTGACATCTTTGACCCGGACCCCCTGTCTTCCCCTGTCTCCCCCGCTCACTCCTCCCCTAGTGCCCCTCCTCCCCCTCCCTCCCAACCCTCGCCTCCCTCCCCCCCTCCCCGCACCACACTCACCCGGTATCCTCACACCAGGTCATGCGACGGTATTCTTGGTGCACCGCCCCCTGTTACCCTCTCTACCTCTACCCTCCCCCCTCTTTCCCCCCTTCTTCACCACTTCTTCCAGGCTGTCCTGCATCCAGCCCCTCATGCACCCGCCCCCTCTACTACCTCTCCAGCAGCCGCAGCAGCTCCAGCAGCAGCCACCGCAGCGGCACCAGCAGCGGCACCAGCAGCGGCACCAGCAGCGGCAAGTGCAGCGGCACCAGCAGCGGCAAGTGCAACGGCACCAGCAGCGGCGAGTGCAGCGGCAGCGGCGGCCTCGGCAGCGGCACCAGCAGCGGCGGCACCAGCAGCGGCATCAGCAGCGGCATCACCAGTGGCACCAGCAGCGGCACCTGCTGTCATCCGCGCCTTCCACACCTCCCTCTCTGTGGACTCCCATGAGGAGTTCCTTGACCTCCACCTCTCTGACCCCTCCCTCCTTCCCATCACCTCTGACCTCTCTGGAACACCAGTCTTCGCCTTTTCCTCCGCACCCTCCACCTTCATCCCAACCACGTATGAGGAGGCCATGGCTTGTCCCGACGCCCCGCTCTGGCTCGCCGCCATCATCAAAGAGCTCGAGGCGTTTATTGCCAACTCCTCCTTCGTTGATGTGCCTCGCCCTCCCCCCTCTACGAACGTGGTCAAGGGGAAGTGGGTGTTTCGCGTCAAGCAGCTGCCAGGAGAACCGCCCGTCTACAAGGCCCGGTATTGCGCCAAGGGCTTCACGCAGCGGTATGGCTTTGACTTCTTCGACACCTTCTCCCCCACCGCCAAACCTGCTACCGTTCGCGTCGTCCTCGACCTCGCCGCTCGCCTCAACATGGAGATCCACTCGATGGATGTCTCCAACGCCTTCCTGCAAGGCGTACTACGTGAACTGATCTACATGGAGCGCCCAGCGGGCTTCCACCTCCCCTTCCCCGCTGACTCTATCTGGCAGCTGCGCCGCCCAGTGTATGGGCTCCGCCAGGCTCCCAGGGAATGGCATGCCAAGCTTGCTGCCACCCTTGTCGAGCTTGGGTTTCGCACCTCCCGCTCCGACGCCAGCCTCTTCCTCCGCACCTCCCCCTCCCCCTTCTACATCCTCGTCTATGTTGACGATATGATTCTTCTCACTGCCGATCCTGCCGAGCTCGAGACTGTCAAGACGGAGCTGGGCAGCCGTCTCAAGTGCAAAGACCTGGGAAAGCTGCAGCACTACCTCGGCATGACCATCACTCGCGACCGCTCCGCCCGCACCATCTCTCTCTCTCAGGGCCACTACCTCCAGCAGGTCTTAGAACGGTTTGCAATGGCGCGCGGTAACCCCAGCCCACCCCCCTTTCGGTCGGGCACCACCTCTCCCCACCCTCCTCTCCCTCTCCCTCCTCCCATCCTTATCCTGAACTCATCGGCTCTCTCATGTACGCCATGGTCTCTACTCGCCCTGACCTTGCCTACCCCATCAGCGTCCTCGCTCGCTTCGTTGGCGCTGGCAAGCATACGGAGGAGCACTGGCAGGCCGCCAAGCGCGTTCTTCGCTACATTCGTGGCACCAAGGACTATGTCCTTACCCTTGGCGGCCCTTCCCCACCCCTCCTCAACGGCTACAGCGACTCTTCCTGGGCTGACTCTCGACCGGATCGGCGGTCCTCTCAGGGTTATGGCTTCTCTCTGGGCAGCGGCCTCATCAGCTGGCGGTCCACACGCTCCTCTGCCGTCGCCCTCTCCTCCTGCGAGGCAGAGCTCTACGCTGCAACCATGGCCGCGCAGGAGGCGCGCTGGCTCACCTTCCTCCTTGATGAGCTTGGCGCCCCCCAACGCTGTCCCACCATCTGGTGTGACAACGCTAGCACCATCCACCTCACCAAGGATGCTGTGTATCATGGGCGCTCCAAACACATTGAGCTCCGCTACTTTTTCATTCGTGAACTCGTTGGGGCCGGCCATCTTCGCCTTGGCAAAATCGACTCGGCGGCCAACCTCGCTGACATCTTCACCAAAGCCCTTCCCCAAACGTCCCACTCCTTCCTTCTGCGCCTCATTGGCCTCACCCCTCCTCCGGTTTTGGCGGCCTCCTGATTCCATTTTCTAGCCTTATGCCTGTTGGGGGGTTGTGTTGTAACTGTATCTTATATTCAACATACATAGGCTAGAATGGTGTAGCTCTTTATGTTCTTGGGGGGTTGGGTGTACACTCCAACCACATTTTGTGGTTGGTCAAGGTTGGGTTTGGTCTTGGTCCTTGGTTGGCACTTGCCAACTTTTGGTCCTAAGGCCTACCAATCACAACCTAGCAACATTGTGGGGTTACCTACTCCACAAGGCATCTCCCCCATTGGCCAACTTAGTGGCCAATAGGGTTTGCTCATTCTTCACCCCTCTCTTGCTTGCATGCTTGTACTATAGAGCCTCCATGGCTCATTATTCAAACCACTCTTGAATTCTATCACCTTGACCACTTTTCAAGAAAACTTTTGAGTTGACTCAAAAGTCAATTTGAAGATCGGTCTGGAGAAATGCCTTGGCCCCTTTTCAAGAAGACTTTTGAGTCGACTCAAAAGTCAATTTGAAGATCGGTCTGGAGAAATGCCTTGACCACTTTTCAAGAAAACTTTTGAGTCGACTCAAAAGTCAATTTGAAGATTGGTCTGGAGAAATGCCTTGACCACTTGTCAAGAAATACTGGGAAATAGCGGGTACTGGCCTCTGCTGATCCTGTCTGTTTTATCCCCTTTCTCCCCTTATACTTCCCTTGCCTCATTACTTGGTCTCATCTCAGAGGGAGTGGACGGTGACTTCCTGCCGCTGCGAGTGCGAGTGAAGGTGGCGATCAGCACTTCTCTCCCCTCCCCCTTCCCTCCTCCCTTCCCTCCTCCCTTCTCTCCTCCCTTCCCCCCATTCATAATCATTCCAGAGGGAGTGGACGGTGACTTGCTGCCTCTACGAGTGAGAGTGAAGGTGGCGATAGGAGTGGCCAAGGGGCTGACGTGAATACAGCGACCCCTGGCCATTCCCGCCTCTCCTTCTTCTGACCCTCTCAAATGATGGCTCTTTCTCCCCCAAATGACTCCAGAGGGAGTGGATGGTGACTTCCTGCTGCTGCGAGTGCGAGTGAAGGTGGCTATTGGCATGACCAAGGGGCTAGCCTACCTGCACTCCAAGGCTGTGGTTCACGGCAACCTCATCATGTGCTGCCCTCCTTTGACCCTCCCCTTCCACCTCTCTCCCTCCCCCCTGTCACTCCAATCCAGAGGGAGTGGATGGTGACTTCCTGCCGCTGCGAGTGCGAGTGAAGGTGGCGATAGGGGTGGCCAAGGGGCTGGCCTACCTGCACTCCAAGTCGGTGGTTCACGGCAACCTCATGTGCTGCAATGTGATGCTGGATTCAGTGAGTGGTGTGCTTGTAACGAGTATGGAGTGTACATAGGGCACATCACATACAAGTCAGTGGTTCACGGCAACCCCAAATTTCAAGTCTCCCAAATTCCATGTCGCTCACATTCCACGTCTCACATTCCACGTCTCCCACATTCCATGTGCCTCACTCATACCCCCATGCCCTCATGCTTGCTCTGTCTATTCCCCCCTTCTCTCCACAGAGCTACACAGCGCTGCTGACGGGCTATGGGCTGGCGGCAATACTGGCCAAAGGATCATCAAAGAAGATACTTAAGGGTGAGTGCTCTCCGGCCTTGTGTGGCATGGTTGCGGGGTGACATGGTAACGAGTTGAACTTTGAGACAACTCATAAGGCTCTGTTGACCGACCGGCTATGGGCGGGCGGGCTGGCGGCACTACTGGCCAAAGGGTGCCCCAACAAGACCCTCAAGGCCGACTGCTCTCCGCCCTTGTGTGGCATGGTCAGCAACTGCTGCCGGGACTCGACTCAAATGCCTTTGCTGATCGGCTGTGGGCCCCTCCCCTCCGACTCATCCCTCTGCTGATCGGCTGTGGGCCCCTCCCCTCCGACTCATCCCTCTGCTGATCGGCTGTGGGCCCCTCCCCTCCGACCCATCCCTCTGCTGATCGGCTGTGGGCCCCTCCCCTCCGACTCATCCCTCTGCTGATCGGCTGTGGGCCCCTCCCCTCCGACTCATCCCTCTGCTGATCGGCTGTGGGCCCCTCCCCTCCGACTCATCCCTCTGCTGATCGGCTGTGGGTCCCTCCCCTCCGACTCATCCCTCTGCTGATCGGCTGTGGGCCCCTCCCCTCCGACTCATCCCTCTGCTGATCGGCTGTGGGCCCCTCCCCTCCGACTCATCCCTCTGCTGATCGGCTGTGGGCCCCTCCCCTCCGACTCATCCCTCTGCTGATCGGCTGTGGGCCCCTCCCCTCCGACTCATCCCTCTGCTGATCGGTTGTGGGCCCCTCCCCTCCGACTCATCCCTCTGCTGATCGGCTGTGGGCCCCTCCCCTCCGACTCATCCCTCTGCTGATCGGCTGTGGGCCCCTCCCCTCCGACTCATCCCTCTGCTGATCGGCTGTGGGCCCCTCCCCTCCGACTCATCCCTCTGCTGATCGGCTGTGGGCCCCTCCCCTCCGACTCATCCCTCTGCTGATCGGCTGTGGGCCCCTCCCCTCCGACTCATCCCTCTGCTGATCGGCTGTGGGCCCCTCCCCTCCGACTCATCCCTCTGCTGATCGGCTGTGGGCCCCTCCCCTCCGACTCATCCCTCTGCTGATCGGCTGTGGGCCCCTCCCCTCCGACTCATCCCTCTGCTGATCGGCTGTGGGCCCCTCCCCTCCGACTCATCCCTCTGCTGATCGGCTGTGGGCCCCTCCCCTCCGACCCATCCCTCTGCTGATCGGCTGTGGGCCCCTCCCCTCCGACTCATCCCTCTGCTGATCGGCTGTGGGCCCCTCCCCTCCGACTCATCCCTCTGCTGATCGGCTGTGGGCCCCTCCCCTCCGACTCATCCCTCTGCTGATCGGCTGTGGGCCCCTCCCCTCCGACTCATCCCTCTGCTGATCGGCTGTGGGCCCCTCCCCTCCGACTCATCCCTCTGCTGATCGGCTGTGGGCCCCTCCCCTCCGACTCATCCCTCTGCTGATCGGCTGTGGGCCCCTCCCCTCCGACTCATCCCTCTGCTGATCGGCTGTGGGCCCCTCCCCTCCGACTCATCCCTCTTTCCTTCCCCTCCCCTTTCATCCTACCCCTCTCTCACCCTTCCATTTTGATTCTCCCCATCCTCCTCCCCCACCCCACCCCTCCCCCCCAACCCCCCCTCCTCCCGCAGAAGCGTTCTTTGACTGGGCTGAAATCTACACTGATGACTTCCCACCTTGACCCCCTCTCTTCCTCCTCACCCCTACTCCCCTCTCCTCCCCTCCACATCTGCTCCTATCCTTCCTCCCCTGCCTTCCGTCCCACCTCTCTATTCTCCACGCTCCCCCCACCCCCCTCCCACATCCCTCTCCCACATCCCCCTCCCAACTGCCGTCAGGAGCGGAGGGCATGGGGAAGGACGCGTTTGAATTTAGGGTGCTGCTCTTCTCGCTGCTCACGGCTTTCCACCTTGCCTCTCTCTCTCCTCCTTCCCCCCGACCCCTCCTCCTCATCCCCACCCACCACCCCCCTCTCCCCACTACTATCAGGAGCGGAGGGCATGGGGAAGGACGCGTTTGACTTTGGCGTGGTGCTCTTTTCTCTCCTCACAGGCCGGCAGGGAGCACACAGCACAGCGCAGCAGCACGGCGCCGAGGCCCTCTTTGACTGGGCCGAGCCCTACACTGACGACCTTGCTCGCAGCGCCGAGTGTGGCAGTGCCACGAGGCGCATGGTGGTGCGCATGCTTGATGTGCTGGCTAAGGAATGCATGCAGGATGATCCCAGGTGCCGACCCAGCATGGAGGATTTAGTGGTCAGGCTGTTCCGGCTGCAGGACTCGTTACAGGCGCAGTAAGGGGTGGTACCGACAGACAGCGGTGGTCAGCTGCGGTGGAGAGTGGTGCAGTGCGGTGAAGCGCATGGTGAAGGGCATGGTGAAGAGCATGGTGAAGAGCATGGTGGTGCGTATGCTTGATGTGTTGGCTAAGGAATGCATGCAGGATGATCCCAGGTGTCGGCCCAGTATGGAGGATCTGGTGGTGAGGCTGTTCCGGCTGCAAGATTCCCTGCGGGTGGGAAGGAAGCACCGGTGGGACTTCTGAGGGGGCCAGTTGGTCTGCTGCGGTACCGACCCAGTATGGAGGAGCAAGTCCTGGGGCTGTTCTGGCCGCAGCGCAGGCCTTGCTGCAGGCACAATAATGAAGGGAAAAGGACGTCTCTTTTCCCAGAATACGCACGTAATTTATGATGGAAATGGAAAGCAATGGGGTGTTTAAACTTAACATGGGGAGCGGCGACGGGGATGTGGTGCTTCCCTAAGGAAAGGAGAGAGAGTGCATCCACGGTTTTAACCAACTGTTTGAGAAAATGCTACTAGTGTTAACTTGTACCGGTACGAGCTCGATTGAGGGAAAGGCTGCTGTGCTGGGCTGGGTGTGTTGGCCTAGAGAAAAATATTGGGATATGGATTGACATGATGTGGAAGAAGTGTGTGCTTTATTATGAATGTACTGTACCATTACATGTTTTAGTGCGTATAACTATTTTAGTTCCGTGCCATGTTTTCGTCATCAATGTCTTTCTATCGTGAAGACTTCTTTAGGGTGTATTCACCTTGAGCACTAAAATAAACATGTTAATTAGTGGATGTAGAGACAGTGCTGTACACAACTCTCTATTGTCGCAGTCTTTAACGAAGCACAAGCCTTGGCTGGTGTCTTGCTCCATCGCCTTTCCTGTACCAAAGAAGGCCGCCTCCTTCCCAAGTTTTCTCAAAATCACTCCCCTTATTTTCTCGTCACTTTGCCCACCATACTTCATGTCAACATAGCAGTTCTTGGGTCTGACCGTCAAATATTACTTCTCGACTCTCGTGAGTCGTGGTCTGTGAGGGTTTGCGCGGACCAGAATTCGCGATTTCGCTTAGTCCAGTGCTGCACGCGCTTTTTGCTGCATTCGTCACCCGTTGTTCGCTGATCCCCATTCGCCATTCGCTAGTTCGTCATTCGCTAATTCGCTATCGCCATTGTCGCCTCGTAACAGCGCCATGGCATGCTCATGGCAGTCCGCGTCGCACCATCTCGCCGCGTCCTCCGCCGCTGCCGTGAGGCGCCTCGCCATGAACCCAAGTGCCACTCTATATCGAGTTCCTCGTTGTAAGATTCTTCCATTCAGGTCACTCTCCACGTCTCTTCCTTCTCTCGCCAGCTCCTCGCAATCCTCCTTCCAACGTGGCACCATCTCATTGGCTCCACGTGCCATCCCCTGCCACGTGGACACCTGGCAACCATCCACCTCGATCAAATCGATCACCACTGCTTCTGCTAACAACGGCTCCAGCGGCGGCGGAAGCGGAAGCGGAAGCGGAAGCGGAACAGGAGGAGGCACCAATAGCAGCAACACTCCCGTTAGCAGATCCGTTAGTGGCAGACCTGCGGTTCCGCTCCTTATATTCTCCCCAACCGGGCAACTCTCGCTTACGACACAGCGACCACCAGTCGACTCCGCTTCCGCTCCCCCCCCTCCCTCCCCTCCCGCCTCCCCCGTCTCTTCCCTCAAGTCCTCCGCAAGCTCTACCAAGAGCAGCGCCAGCAGCGGAAGCAGCAGCAGCAGCGCCTCTGCCAGCAGCAGGCCGCGCACGCGGGAAAAGCCCGCCGGACCGACTTCCGCCCCGCGCTACTCCAAGGCCGCGCGGCGCTTCTTCAACGAGCGCTTCCGCAGCGCGGAGCGCGAAGCCGCGCAGCGCGGGCAGCGCTTGAGCAAAGTCCTCGCCGCCGCGGGGATCGCGTCGCGGCGCGCATGCGAAGACATCATATTCGCTGGGCGGGTAACCGTAAACGGCAACACGTGTACAGTCCCGCAAACCGCGGTCGATCCCATGAAAGATTCAATTTACGTGGACGGCAAGTCGTTACCGCGAAAGGCGCCGCCTAGGCTTTATTTTATGGTCAATAAACCCAAGGGGTATATCTGCTCCAACGCTCCCCAGCAGGAAGTTTCCTCGTCACGTTCCTTCTCCCCTCAGTCGCCTAAACCCTCTGGCCGCGAGAGAAGCAGCGGAGGGAAAAGTAGACCTGAGAGGGTTGAGGGTTCAGGGTTTAGGGATGAGTCGAGCGACAGCAGCAGCGGCGGCAGCGGCGGCGGCGGTGGCGGTATCGAGAAGACGGCGATTAGTCTGGTGGAGGAATATTTGAAGGTTTGGGAGAAGAGAAATCCGGGAATCCCCAGGCCACGGCTGTTCACTGTGGGGAGGCTGGACGTGCAGACAACAGGGCTGCTGCTGGTTACCAACGACGGGAATTTCGCGCAGCAGATCGCACATCCCTCAGCTGGACTTACCAAAGAGTGCGTTTGGGGGCTTCGGGTTTCTCTCTTTTCGTTTTCTCTATGTGTGTATTGCTTTCAATGCACACAATCCGCCCATACCAACATAATCCTGCCCTTCTTTCCCACCTTTCTCCTGGTTCCCTCCTCTTTTTTCCAGCCTGCCTTCAATTCCTCCCATCCCCTCCCCTCCCTCCCCTCCGCTCGCTCTCCTCCCATCCCCTCCCCTCCCCTCCCCTCCCCTCCCATCCCCTCCCCTCCCCTCCCCTCCTTTCCCCTCCCCTCCCCTCCCCTCCCCTCCCCTCCCCTCCCCTCCTTTCCCCTCCCCTCCCCTCTCCTCCCCTCCCCTCCCCTCCCCTCCCCTCCCCTCCCCTCCCCTCCCTCCCCTCCCTCCCCTCCGCTCGCTCTCCTCCCCATCCCACCCCCTCCCCTCCCCTCCCCTCCCCTCCTTTCCCCTCCCCTCCCCTCCCCTCCCCTCCCTCGCGTCTCCCACAGATCCTATCCCTGCATTTAACCCCTCTCTCTCATATTCCTAATTCTGATCACCTCAGCACATCTCTATCCGTCCTCTTGTCCCTTGCCCCTTTTCCCTTTTCCCTTGCCCCTTTTCCCTTGTCCCTTGCCCCTTGTCCCTTGCCCCTTGCCCCTTGCCCCTTGCCCCTTGCCCCTTGTCCCTTGCCCCTTGTCCCTTGCCCCTTGCCCCTTGCCCCTTGCCCCTTGCCCCTTGTCCCTTGTCCCTTGTCCCTTGCATTGTGCCTGCACAGACCTTCTTGTCTTCATACCTTGTGACTCCTTTTGTCATCTCCCCAGCACCCCCTCCTTTTTTTTACTGGATTAACTTGTTCATTTAAACGCTGCTCCTGGTTTTGTGCAGGTACGTTCTCACGGTTCAGGGGCCAGTCACCAAGCGCCAGCTGGCAACCATGGCAGCAGGGACGGATGTTGATGGTGTGCTCTGCACACCCGTAGCCCTCGACCTTGTAACGGATAGTGACAATAAAGGAGGAGGAGGAAGCGGAGGGAAGGGGAGGGAACGGGTGCGGGTGGTGGTGGCCGAGGGGAGGAACAGGGAGGTTCGGAGGCTTGCCGAAGCTGCTGGTCTGGAGGTGCTAGGGTTGAAGAGAGTTAGGATTGGATCGCTGCGGTTGCCGAGAGACTTGGGAGTGGGGAAGTACAAGGCGTTAAAATCGATAGATGTGGAAAGGCTACTCAAGGAGAAGATGTGAACGAGTGGGGATTCGAAGGGCATGGTTGCTGGTGATATATCTAGTAAATGTACCTATGTGACATGAAAAATAAGTACCGTAAGCACTAAAACATAACCCATTTTCTCAGTGAAATAAGATCTTGCATCATCAAGGGTGCCTAATTCATAACCCTGTACTGTACGGATTTCCCAGCGAAGCGTACAAAACTTTCGCTTGACCCACCATCGTACAACCAACCCTTATACAGGTGTTGGATTGGAAACAAGTAATTAATGTTGGGCTGAGAAAATAGCCCTTAGGATCTTTACAAGGGTGAATTCTGGGTAGGGATAATGTAACAGCGGAAGCTTTTAATGAAGTGGTTGAACCACCTTGCGCTAGTATGTGAGGGCAAAGTGGATTGATTAGAGCAAAGGGATACAAGATTATATAAGAGTACCGTACAAGGAATATGAAGGGGTACAGTTATAACTGTTTTACTGTTGCTGTTGCGGTTCGATACAGTGACGACTCGGGCAACTGCTCTGTGGCGAGTCAGTTGTGTGTCCTTGCTGTCGCGCTGCATTTTGTGAGGTCAAAGGTCGCTGACCTTTGACTTTCGCGTAACCTCCAACAGTTATTTTCAACCTCCGAGGGTTGCCTCGCCGGTGCTTTGATATGCTTCGCTTCGTTTGTGCTTTAATGTTTCGACACGACAGAGGCGCTTAAGATCGATTGTTTCCGACAATTAATGCTTCTTTATGCGTCATAACATCAAGATTGTAAATGAGGCGAACTACAGCGCAGCAATGGCGAGTTAACTGAAGAGGTTGACAAAAAAGTAACAGCCGGAGGTTACGCGAAGGTCAAAGGTCAGTGACCTTTGATTTGACAAATACGGGCGCGACAACAAGGACAAACAACTGACTCGGTATTGAGCAGTTGCCCGAGTCGTCACTGTATCGAACCGCAACAGCAACAGTAAAACAGTTATTGCATCCTTTCATATTCCTTGTAATCTTATAAAAGCTTGTACCGTATGGCCCCGGATATAAGCGCAGGCCTATTAAAAGCGCATGCGCTTGTATCTGGAGCAATGCGCTTATGGCCGATCCTCAATTATAAGCGCACCCCTTATAAAACCCTGATATATTATAAGCGCATGTGCAATTTTTTTTATTTTTTCATTAAAACGGTAACGAATCTCAGTTTTGCAGCGAGGCCACAACCCATTTTCGCTTACATTGACTTTCGAAGACCTCTCACATCCTGCGCGTCCAGTCAGCACGAGCTGGCACGCCCTCAAAGTGAGGTGTTACACTGTATTTTGCCTCTGGGCGCTCGCAAAGAATCGCCCGCGCGCGATTTTGACATGTGACTTTCTACAATTTCGATTCGATTGAAATCTGAAGGATGAGATGTAGAATTTGGGGCATTGAAATATATATTTGTATTTGTTATATTATAAGCGCATGCGCTTATAAATTTTACTCAATTATAAGCGCACCCCCCAAAAAAACACTGTTTTATTATAAGCGCAGGTGCGCTTATATCCGGGGTAATACGGTATTACTTCTGTATAATCAATCAAT